CCACCACCACGCCCCAGCCGAGGATGCGCTGTGCGACGGACGAGCTCGCGAACGTCAAGTCCACAATAGACTCTCCTGTCCACCGCACGCATGTCGCGACTGAGCCCCTGTTAACGATACAGAGATCGGCCGCGACCGCCCACTCCTCCAACAGCCTACCACGAGCGTCCGTAGATGGGGAACCCCAAGAGACAGACTTCGCATTGAAGTCCCCCGCCAGTATCACGGAACGGGGAGAGAGGTGACGAGCGATCACCTCTAGCCCGTCCAGGAACCGCTCGAACTCGACGGTAGGCCGATTCGGAGAGAAGTACACCCCGATCACGACGGTATTTTCTAATTGTACCGCGACGATCCCGGGACCCCTGGTCACCATCGCCAGGGGAGGAATCATCGCGGATCTTCTTATATGTATGGCCGCCAAGCCATCAACGTCCCCAAACCAGCAGTCGTCTGCTGGGGGAACGAAGTACGGCTCGGCGACCACAGCCACGTCAATTGACCACTCCGCCATAGTCTGGAGCAGCATGTCCTGAGCTCCGGCGGAGTGGTTCAAGTTTCCTTGGAGGAAGCGATAGGTGTGATCCATTAAGACTGGACCACATCCATCGCCCCCTCCCTTACTCCATTGTCCCCGCTATCGGGCGCGAACGCCTCAGCGGGGGCGTGTGACATGCTAGTACGATTTTGGTCCCCATAATTTTCATACCCCGGGCCTATATATGTAAATCGATTCTAAAGGAGTAAACTCCAATAAATACATTTGCAAGAACTTCTCCTCGAGTGAAGCCCTCCTTCAAAGAAAATCAATAATACCTATTTTGGGCCACCTGTATCCAGTTTCGACCCGCTGTTCTTGTGATGGCATCCTGTCATCTTGTGAGGGATCTTCCTTATTTAATTTTCCTTCCTCTATATCACTTTCATGCTGAACTACTCTATGAAATGATTCTTTTGGTCTATCTTTCATCTTGTAGTCTCTATACATACATGGCCCGCCCAGTTCCATATTTCTAAATAAATCTATTATAATAATTATTATTTCAAACTGTTTTACACTCAACCAATGCTGGCGAATGTTTGTTAAAGGTTAATTGATTACTTGCTTGGTTATCAGTTTGAGCTCTCACCATCATCATTATTCTTTCCTATTTATTACCCTCTGCTGGGGTGTATGTTATGTGGTGTACATAAGTGAAAATCAGATGTTATAAACACCTGCTCAACAGTCTATTATTAAAATCGAACTCTTCCATTATACGAAGCCACAGCTCAAACCAATATCACATGTGAAGGAATTACATCGTAATTCAATTTTAGCTAAATCTAATATATAAAATTCTCGTGTCACGGGGTGCGTGATTGAACTCCTCCGAAACGGCTCGACCGATTATCGTGAATCTTAGCGTGCATATCGGCCAGGGTGGAGAACCAAACAACATCTATTTTTCACCCCTCTAAATCTTAAGGGTGGTCCAGCCCTAAATTTTTTTTTATATTTTAGACCAAAATTTTTGGTTTTGTTTTTTTATGATACCGCATACAAAAATATATACTACCCTAAATTTTCAACCCTCCACGATCAACCCTTATTTTTTATTTGTTAATTAAATACTTTAATTTTTATGCAAGAATTTTGTTTTTATTTTGTCATGACTTAGAATAAAAAAAAACATATTACTCTGAATTTTTCACCCCTCTACGATCAACCCCTATTTTTTATTTGTTAATTATAAACTTTATTTTTTTTGGCATGATTTTCATTTCATATTTTTATTTTGACATGAATTAAAATAAAAAATCTGATGTTACTCTCAATTTTTCATCCCTCTATGATCAACCCCTATTTTTCATTTGTTAATTATAAACTTTTTTGGCAAGATTTTTTTTTTTACTTTGTCATGACTTAAAATAAAAAAAATCATATTACTCTAATTTTCACTCTTATACAGGGGGTTATTAAAACGGATTGATCACCCCTGTTTTTCCATCCCGATTTTTATTTTTTTTATTCTATGCACAGATCCGCAATAAGGTTGCAAGATGGTAATCAAATATTATAATTGTAGTACGATAAATTCTTATTCAGAGTTTATAATTTCAAGTTCCTTAAATTATGTTTTTTTTTTAAATTCAATTTGATCTACCACCCGCAGCAGTCGACTACTGAACAACTATCAATCGATCAGTTATCCCCGCCAGGTGTCACCACTCATCCAGCAAACATCACGTAGTAGGAATGAGGACGAAGCCGGTCTCCTGTCCTACTCACTCATTTTTCAGCCATGTTTTTTTGGTTTTATTTGTGTATCAATCGTAGCAGTGACTGTTATACCTATTATTTTAATTTTTTTGTGCAACTCTCATGTTAATTTTACTGTCATCGTAAAATTATCATTAATTTCCAGTGCAATAATTATTTATTTACAATCTTATATATAAAATTCTCATGTCACAATGTTAGTTACCATACTCCTCTGAAACGGTTTGACCGATTTTTATGAAATTTTATATGTATGTTCAGTAGGTCTGAGAATCGGCTACTATCTATTTTTCATACCCCTAAGTGATAAGGGTTGTCCACCTCTAACATTTATTTTTAGTTTTGGACATATTTTTTTGTTATAATGAGGCATTACCTAGGTATGTGGTTGAATGAGGTTTTGTTATTTTTATACTCCCTAAACGTTCACAGCGCTACATGCCTCTTTCACTCATTTACCACATTTTTACACACAATAAGTTACTTTTCTTTCTACACTAGAAATTCCCTACAAATCTAATATATGGCAAAACAACGTTTGCCGGGTCAGCTATTATGATATATAATGTTATTCCTTGTAAATGTCGATATATATGCGATTTGGCGTTGTAGTGATGTAAATACAGAACCCCAGTTCCTGGCTGAGTCCGTTGCTCGCCCGCCGGCCCTAGTAAAACTGGAAAGGTCTCCGCTCCGGGCCATCAGTAATCTCACAAACATAAAAAAAAATCTGGGCTTTTAGGGACCACCTGGTAACTGAGATATCAAATGTATTTATTATCTATGGCTGAGATAATGATGCAGAATATGTTAAGGTAATTCTTATATAAAAACTATAAAAAATGAATAGTCAGAGGGGACAAGGTGTCTCAGTCAGATTTAGTCTTAGTGCAATGAAAGATTAACCTTGTCGTCTATACGAGTTACCTACTTAGTTCAAGTTTTTATATCATAATAATTTTATTTTATTTGTAGTATTAAAAGTTTTTTTTAGTAACGATCATGGTGTTTTACTCAAGATCATGATGATTTTCTCCTGATCCACTGTAATAAAGCGTGTGAAATTATTTAAAAAAATCTAGGTTATATTGTAAAAAGAGTTTTGTCTATCCGTAATAAGAAGCGAAAAAAATGGTCCCATAAAGCTGCTATGACAAATCAGGGATTATCACCGAAAAGCCACAGATTGAAAATGCATTATTGATGATGTCATCAATTCAGACGCTACAAAAACTAAACAAAATGAAACTGCACATTATTTCTGTTCATTTATTAATTTAAATACATTTACAATTGGTTACAAGTATTAGTAAAACTAAAATGGAGCTCCGTTTTTTTTTTTTTGGTAACAGAAAGGTACATGAATCGTCAAACCGACGCGGCGACGTATAATCACTTCAGATCCGACTTAAAATATATTCATTACGATGTTTAATTAACTTACATACAAAGCCTCTTTGATCGCAACCTCTAAAGAAACGGAGCTCGGCGTGCTACTGCTGAAAAGCATTCGACTATACAGACATATTTACTATTAAATATAAAGATCAAACTCAAGAGTTATTCCATTTTGTTACGATTTTCAAATTAGAAAATCGTTAGAAGCACGAGTTCTTTTCTAATAGAGCAAAATAATATAGAAAATTAAATTAATTGGTAATAAATATTACATGTAGATTTTAAGGAAAACTGATAATTCAATGTATATGTCGATAGAAAGATAAATTGATTAATGTTAGAAATCCTGAGTTTAACAAAAATAATTCATCATTTTTATAAACAGTTTGTATTCTAAGAAAATATATACTCGTAATATGTGCAAGAAATATACTATCTTAGGTGATAATATTTATTTACTTAAGTTATAATAAGCTTGAGTGTTAGGTAATTTTACTAGTTTATACTCAATGAGAATTGAGTGAGCAGTTATAATTGAATAGGTACTTTATTTGTTCAAATATTTTAAATTAACTATCTATTAAAAATTTATTGCATAAAGATATATTTAAAATCTGATATAAGTTTCATAAGAGACTTTTTTATTATTAGTGTAACAAATGAGTTGAAGAATTTACAGTATTTTTTGTATCTAATGAATAAGTAAAGTTAGTTTGTTTTCGACAAACTAATTTTAGTGTAGATATGAGTTTTCATTAAACGAATCGATTATATAATTTTAGTACAATGGATATTTCATCGCAAATTTCCGAAGTATGCGAACAATTTTGAAACATACAAATAAATTTTATTTTCCTTGAAATCTATCCAGCTTTTACCCTTAGTGTGCATGGTGTAGGCAGTTACTTTACAACGGGGCTTCGTTCCGTAATTATGTATTTTATGTTTCAAAGAATATATTCGTCTTTACGAATACTCACTCAAAAAAGTATGCCTTTCCGAATTTTCAGAACTTTAATTGATGAATGAATGAATTGAATATATTGATTTGTTTTAAATTATAATAATTACTGTAGTTCACTTCGGATCGCAAATTTCAGAGCAAAATTAAATTTAAAGACGGTTACAAAAAATCATGCCACTGTGGGACTATAGTCTATAACACTAAAAAAAGCAGAAAGTGCACTTTGCACGAGAATTTAATGAAGAAAGAAAAACATATTGATCTTCTATTTTGATATTTGATAAAAACTAAATAGACACTTTGCTAGGAGTCTGACAAGCGTTTCCCCTCCGCATCAGGAGCTGACGGGATGGGAGGGGCTCCAACGCACACATCATTACTCACTACATGAGATCAGAAACAAACTACACACGGTATGTACTGTTAGCAAAACAGCATCTGCTTACGTGAGTGCTCAATAGTTTGCTCAGTCGACCGTACTGTGACGCTCTGCTCGCGCACAAATACATACATTGGCTGCGTGAACAGGCATCCGATGTTGGGCCTCCGATATCTAAACTCTAAAAATCTTAAATTCATTTAAATTTTGATTTGTAATTTTATAATCTTCCACTAGTCCTTCATAATTCTCCCACCCTGTTTGGTTCGATATTATCTAAACGCTATCAAATACACGACTCTGTACAGAGTTGTAATACTGTTTTTATACTATATTTAATATTCATTATTCTTAATCTGCGTACTTAAAGTGCATTTAAATCTAATATAAGCCAAATCGAATCGCGTTTCACAATAAAAGTGCAACAGAATCGCGATGTTCCTTGAAGTTTGATATTTACTAAAAAATAATCTGAGAATCATTCGCATTATTAATACAACAATATCGGGGTAAGCGGATCATAGTCTGCAAACAATTTTATGTTCCAGTAAATATTTTAAGGTAATGTTTTAAATAATTTTAAAACAGAACCACTATAACTCTGCTGAAGATTACGAAAAAAAATAATTAAATTCACAATAAATGAATTTTTCAACGGTACTATTACGGTTAATATTATCTTATGTTCTTTTACTTACCAGTTTATTGTTTAAGTCATTGAAGATTTTACAAAATTTAATTCTCAATTTCTAACGTTTAGTTTTACGCTAAAACTTTCGATGAAAGCGAATTAATTTCGGACAAATTACGTACGTGCATTTCTAGAGCATGCTATTAAAATACATGAACAACATTGAAGTAAGTAATTAAGTAAGCTATTAGCGGGATATGTCATGACGAGGCGCTGCGAGGTGACAATTAGATGCGGCTATTGTGGCGTGTGTTGCTTGTTCGTCGCGTCATCGAACGGCGACTCCTCAATCATCAGCCGAACTCCTGCCGCTGGAGGGCCACGGACACCTTGTACAGGCTCTCCATCATAAAGGACAAATTCTGGGATAAATCGTTCACGGGCCGCGTTATAGCGACCATATCTGAAACAAATACATATAATAATGATATCGAGTGCTTCAGAATGAACAAACAATAAATAGGTTTGATTGCGTTTTCTGTATAATAAGTATGATAAGTATGATAAGAATGTATATATGTATAATATGTATAATAAGAAAAAAACATTAAATACCCTTAATCTCTTTTAAAATTAATATTGAAAATTAAACAGTATTAATAAACTATATAAAATTGAACTCTCTTTTTTTTCAAAGAGAATGATACTGAAAAATTTTTTTTTTAAAAAAAGTAAAGAATTATAATCCAGGTATAAAGGTTTTTCTTTACACATATTGCATTATCAACGATAACAAGCGCATTACAGTGATCACGTGTTATGAGTTACCGTCGTGTCGCAAACAATTAAACTGACCCTATTATATTTCGCATGGTTTCGGTGGTGAGGTGCTGAGGGCGGCCACGTCGAACCCTCCGGGGACTGCAGCTGCATCGATACTGTCGCACATGCGCTGCATCTGAGCCCCCTAGGCGTTTAGACGGTGGGGTGGGGACCCTTTGTAAATAGTTCTAGGGCTCCCTGTTTACGAACCTGACGATATCCCGCTGACGGCATTAATATAAGCTACAGTTTGGCCTACAAATATATTCGGCAACGACGGGTGGGATATATTGAGTTACGAAGAAAAACTTAATTTTGAAATGAAAATAAATTTTAGTTTTAACTTTCTCTTTATAGAATAAAGATCATCATAGTTTCTAAAATCTATAAGCATCAAAATATGAGAATTACCATATCGAAATGGCTTTTACATAAATTTATATTATAGTTTTTGTCTTACAATTTCGACTTCTAGTCTACAACTTTTATGTCAATAATAATTATATGATAACAAAAATTATAGTAAAAACTGTAGCATAAGAATCATCTATACACGACCTGAATCTAAAATTAATTGTAAGCGTATGAACGTAGTTTGTATAGTGCATAGAGATAAGAAAAGTACTAGAATAAGGAGGTCGTTCGCAACAGAGACAGCACAGAAGGGCTGTGCGCACACACACACACACACAAACACACGCGCGAGCGCGGTCGTTTACACGCGCACGCTCACACACACACGCGTACGCTCACACACACACGCGCGCGCTCGCACACACGCGCGCACTCGTTCACACGCGCACGCACACACACACCCACGCGCGCGCACGCATACACACGCACACACACACACACACACACACACACAAGTACACACATTCACGCACGCACGCACACACACACACACACACGCATACACACGTCAAGTTATGTATCTTGTAATTCTGCGCACGTATCGAAAATCTACGCCCACACCACAACCGTTTCGTTATTTTGACTTATCATTTTGACCAGGTTAACAGGAGTAAAGTTTTTTTATTGCTTTTGTATGCAGATAAACCATACCCATCTGCCCATGCCCATCTGATAGTGAGTGCCCACCGTCAGCACGACTGAAAACTCCTCAAATCTCAACAAACACCTTGGAGGGTATTTTGTACGTCGATTAGTACATCTGTACGCGAATTGAGGTTGAACGAAGCGGTCCTAGGTAGTAAGGATGACGTCTGCTCCGGTGGCATGAGATGACGGATCGTCTCGAACAATTCCTCAGGGTGCGACTTACTATCACACCACGGTTTTCTAACAATTGCGGACGTATTACGCGGAAAGACACTCAGACCCCGATCAGCTAAGCGGTTCTTCTAAATCAGGCACTGTTACGCGGGGTCTCCCGATTAGGTTTTTAAAAAAAGAATTTTAAAAAGAGATTTCCCTTTTATTAGTTCAATCACACAAAAAATTTAATTGGCAGAAACGGATTATTGTTTTAGACCGCTCCCGGTGGGTGACTAGGCTGACCAATGGCTGACCCTCGGTCGGTAACTATTACCAAGATATTTCTTACCATGCTTACTCAACATCAGCGGTGATTAAAAAGGATGTAATATCACTTTAACTAACATGGGGAGTCTGTAACAGCACGTTACCTGGATGTGCCTGCGCTAAGCCCCTGCAGTAGACGTGCAGCAGGCTGGTGACGTCATCCTCGGGAATCTCTCCGCGCTCCAGGATCGTCTCGGCGTTGCGCTCCCGAACGAGGGCCAGGGCAACGCCCCATCTGCGACACGATATATTTGGACGAATAAAAAACATTCATATTAATCAGGACAGACTTACTGGTGGTAGGACCTCTTGTGAGTCTACGGGCGTAGATACCACCACCCCACCTATTTCTGCCGTAAAACAGTAATACGTTTCGGTTTGAACGGCAGGGCAGCCGTTGTAACTATACTGAGATCTTAGAACTTATATCTAAAGGTGGGAGACGCATTTACGTCGTAAATGTCTATGGGCTCCAGTAACCACTTAACACCTGGTGGGCTGTGAACTCGTTCACACATCTAAGCAATAAAAAAAAGATAATATTCAAAGACTACCCTGGTGAAGTTTTATATTGAAGTCACTGTAAGATACTCAAATGTCATTAAAATGTTATCATAAAGGTCATTCTGTATTAGCTTCTGTAGACGAATTCACTTTTGTGGTTCTTTAGTGCTCAGGCGCATATTAGGAAATGATACGAAAAATATTTTAGATTTTCCCATTTTAAGCTAACTTGGAGCTAAACCAGGCTAAATTGGAACACAGGGCGTGGTTCTGACATTTAGGACAAGTCTTGCGTCATAGATCCTAACAAGTCCTCGACCAATCGCAGCCTGAAACGTAGGATCGATAGCAGCTGCATCGGGGTCCGGGTCATCGAAACGTTTCTAGGACATAGCGCCCGTCTCCCGCGCACCGACCCCTGCATCTCCGAGCCGTGGATGACCTATTTTCTAGAAAATTCCACCTGGATGGAACTTTTGTTAGATTCCCGATTTATCCCGAGTTCCGACTTGGAAATTTATTCAAAATAGCATAATAAATAACTTGTACAATCATTTGTTGTTTAACATATTAATACTTCCTTTTATTCAATTTGAATGATTGACAGTCAAGTTAAAGAATACCGCTTAAGTTTAACTTTAGACAAAATAAAAATAAATTGTATTATTTACTCTGGTAAAAGCAGTATCTTAAAGATATTGACGGTATTCGTTTTATACAATGAAAACATGACATTTAATAGTTTTTAAATTATTCCGAAGAAGCGTGCACGAGAGACGGTGGCTTCCGCAAGTAAAAACAACAACAACTTACGAGCACACATACAACATAATAACAATTACACTCAGATCTTAAATACTAAATATTAACTTTGTTATAGTAATCAGCCTGTTAGACCAATGAAGTGCTTGAAACTGCTTAAAATATTATCAGGGCCGGTCTTAGAATATTTAAAAATTGTATAGGTAACTCTATTTTCAGTTCATGCCTGTAAATGTAATGTAAATGTCTTAGCATAATTATGTTGATACTCCCACTACCCGACGTTGGCAAAGTTGTACTTATATCTAAGTAACAAAAGTCAGAAAAGCGGTTTTTAGTTTTTAGGTTTTTAAAGTTTAACGGTAGGCAGCGGCTTGGCTATGCTCCTGGCATTGCTGAAGTCCATGGGCGACGGTAACCACTTTCCATCAGGTGGGCCGTATGATCGTCAGCCTATAAAGGCAATAAAAAAGAAATAAAAACTATAAATTGAATAACGATCATGAAGTTATTCGCATACCAGAATGGACACAGTTTTCCTAAATTCACGCTACGATAACAATGCAATATGACGTTAGTGTACTCACTTCTGCCACTGCATGAGCTGCCACAGCTTGGCGTCGTCGTGCGGGCCGGGGGTGTGCTCGGCCCAGGAGTCGCTGTGGCCGGCGATCAGCGCGTTACGCACCGCGCACACGGCACCGCTCATCTCCACGCCCTGGGATCGACGGGGGCAATACAGGCACACGTCAAAAACTGATCAAAACCTTAAACTCGCTGTCGCCGGTACGAGACCTTTGTTTTCATGGTGTTTTTTATTTATGTGGGTAGATGAGCTCACGACCCACCTGATGTTAAATGGGTACCGGAGCCTACAGACATCTACAACATAAATGCCGCCAATTATATTGAGATATGATTTCTAAGGTCTCAGTATAGTTACAACGGCTACCCCGCTCTTCAAACCGAAACACAGTACTGCTTCACGGCAGAAACAGGCAGGGCGGTTGTACCTATCCGTGTTGACTCATAACAAGTCCTACCACCAGTAATAATAACAATAATAATAAATGCCATAGCTCATAGTATCAATAGCATGCTCATAGTAAGAACCGATATAAACATGTTATAAAATTTGTCTACAGATCTGATCGCTGAAAACTACACTTAAATTAGTTCACGCATCATGTAAAGTTTCGTATTTGTAATAATGAACAGAAAAAATATATATTTAAAACTTTATTATCGATTAAATATTTCGACAAAAAACACAATAATTAATTCAAAATGTTATGAAAGTGGAAACGACTAATTGTACAAGAAAGTATCTTGCGATGTTCAAATTACGATATCCGTAGCACAACTGCCATTCAATGTCGCAGGTGATGGCCTTGTTTTGTAAGTATGTATTCACTAAAGTATTTTTAGAAATGTCGCCACTAAAGGTTTAAAATGAGGGGTGAATGATAATATAAGTTCTTCCTTTTCGCAATAAAAAAAATTATATACCTTCATTGATTTATAGTTTGAAATAAATGTATATTTAATAGGCATTTTTCAAAAAAAAATACACTTAATCTAAGAGGGTGAATTAGGAACATATATTACAAAATCACAGTAATGTATTGGGAGTGGATTTTTTTTAATAACAGCGATTTAAATATTTTTTAAAAACAAAAAAAAGATATGTTATTTCGGTTTGAACAATTTAGCAATATAAAATATGTATAAAGACTTGGTAATATTTTGATGAAAACAATTTATAATCGAACAAAGGAAACAGCAGGATGCAATTTAAAAGCTTGACAAGACACGCATCGCCGCGGAGTCGGGTCAACGACCTGAAATCTAGACTGCAGTAAATCAATAGCGGGAGTCTAGGACGATCGGCCACCATCCTCACACTCCTTGACACTTGCGAGCCAACTGATTGGACGGTGGAAGATCTGGTGATGTCCCGATCTAGGTCGCGACCCCCCGCTCAGTGACCTGGTTGCGGCCCTGGGAGTCCGCGAGTGTCCGCGCGTGCCTCCCGAATTAGGCGTTACGTAATACATAATTATAAAACCGAACGGTTCATTAGATGACGCAGCCTCAAGTTTAACCAGAAAACTGTTTTAATCCTAATAAATAACTATAAAAAATGTACAACATAAATACACTCGTCTATCAACTAAGTTATTTGCAACAGTGTTTATTGTTTATTTTTGATTCGTAGAAGTGTGAATTAAACCTGCATCTTACAAATATCTTCATTACCAAGAACCGTCGTGGAGGCAGGTATAATGTCTCTTTGAAAATGTATGTTTATAAAATGTTATTTTACTCTGATCTAATTGAAATATTCAACGTCATCAAGCTACGTAGGGGATTGCATTACTTTGTTTGTTCTGTAATGAATAAAAGATTCATTTTTTTTATAGTTCTTGTAGGCAGACGGGCATACGGCCCACCGGATAGTTAGTGGTTACCGTCGCCCATGGACTTCAGCAATGCCAGGGGTTGAGCCAAGTCGCTGCCTACCGTGCGTGCCTATGAAATGGTATGTTTGCCCTCACTTAAGGTTTAGTAGTTTTCTCAAATATGAATACTACCGCTCATCTTGTAACTTAAGAACTTAATTCCTAACGATCGCTATTAAAGCTATCCTTTACAACATTTCATTTTGACACACTTAGAAGTCGTAGTGGCCTAAAGTATAAGACGCCCAGTGCATTCGTATCTAGCGATTCAACGGCGTTCGAATCTCGCAGGCGGGTACCATTTTTCCTAATGAAATACGTACTTAACAAATATTCACGATTGACTTCCACGGTGAAGGAATAACATCGTGTAGGTAATAAAAATCAAAACCCGAAAAATTATAGTTAGCGTTATTATTGGTGGTACGACATCTTGAGTAAGCACGGGTAGGTACCACCACCCTGCCTATTTCTGCCGTGAAGCAGTAATACGTTTCAGCTTGAAAGGTAGGGTAGCCGTTGTCCCTATACTGAGACCTTAGAACTCATGTCTCGAGGTGGGTGGCGGCATTTACGTCGTAGGTGTCTATGGGCTCCGGTAACCACTAACACCAGGTGGGCCGTGAAGTCGCTCACCCATTTAAGCAATAAAAAAAAACACAAACATAAGGAAAGGAAGAAATACATTATTTTTTACATGAAGCATACAATATACAACTAAAGTTTGCGTTGGAAAATTATAATGATATTTTGAATATATGAGTCTTTTTGTATTTTATCGTTTAACATTGGGGCCAGTTGTTGTTCAAAAGCGCACTTTCTATATGGGAAATATTACATTGTGCCCGCGTGTAAAATTGCCAAACACGCTGGAGGAAATGTCCAACTTTTGTCCCGCGGTGCACATACAATTTTTACTCCTACCAAGCCGAAAGTTCGTGGAGTACCGAGCTGGGGTCCAGGGGCGCGGCCCCGGTGGGGTCCAGGGGCGAAACCCTGGCCGGGGTAGGCGGGGCAGAGCACCCCCGTACTCATAAATAAAAAAATTTAACTGTTTGTTTATTTTTAAATAAACTACTACTAATTGAATAAGAACTGTCTGAGGAACTCATCTTTGTTTAATACTTCAATATTAAATTTTATTGCCTTTTGTTTATTTCACTTTAACACTAAGCACAATATTGCATATTACCCGAGCACAACAATGGCGGAGAATTTTAGGTGCGTGAGAGCAGACGTAGACACTAACGCACATGCGCACTTGTCAGTACCCAGGGAGGAAAAGTTACACTTTCTTCCCTGTACAGCGGGAGGAAAACCGAACTTTCGGCGTATGTAGGAGAAAAATAATAATTAAGAAGTCATTAAAATACATGTTTATGATAAGAAATGATAAGTTACAAACTCACTCCATTGTCCAGAGAGGCGTGGTAGACGGCAACAATGATCTTGTTGTTGGTCTCCAGCAGCAGCAGGAGTTGGAACACCAGCTTGTAGAGGCATCGGCCCATCTCCTCACTCGAACTCCTCGGCAGCTCCAGCGTCTAGTGCCAATCAACAATACCAATAACATTGAATACAAACGAGTACGTAGCTCACCCAGTTGTTAATGGTTCCGGAGTCTAATAGCATTGTGACGGTAGTCGTCACCACAGAACACTTTTTTTAAGGGATTTTATGACCTGGTAACTAAGACCTTTAGGTCATGTCTTATTTTAATTTATATTCTTATTTTTATAAAAATGATAATATGAAGAGAAATGAAATGAATTTGATTAATATGAAACATGGCATAAAATAAAGTGAAATGAAATGGAATGAGATGAGATGATATGGGATGAAATATAATCTCAGTAAAATGGTGGTCATTTTCAGTGGACTTTTTGGAGGATCCTGAGAAGTTACGTTCAGCGGCTTTGTTTGATCTTCCCACATTTATGCACTTTCAAAGATACTAAACAATTAATAAACCACCGTTGTTACATATTTAAACCTGAAGAAACACTAAATAGACAAAATAAAACAAATCACACAACATCACTCCTCACGTTCCCGCCAAAAAGTCTCTCACAGAACACAAGATATTTGACAGATGCCTGAATCTCGCTTACGACATTTTCAAGATAAGGTCACATATATGTATACAAGTTCCTAACAATAACAATAGGACCGTCGGTCTACCGAGCAATATTACCAGCTCAGTGGAAGATCTTCCCTTCCTCGTATAGTTCGTATACCTCCATAGCATAATATGTGACACAAGAGAGTTTTTCTGATAGGAGGGTTTTGAGTTTACGTTATTTGGAATATCTAAAGTGACGAGTATTTTTAGTTTATTTATATATACAGTCACAAAGCTAGACGTGAATGTACCGAAGGTCTTATCCTTTAGGCCACGACGACTCCATGTTTATTTGTAAGTTATTCAGTTAATTTTCTTACAATTTTGATGGCTATTGAACAGATTTTGTATTATTAATATTTATTATTTAGTATCACTTTATTTTTCAAAACAAAAGGAATAATTTAATTGTAATAACATTAAACGAATCTAAGTCTTGCGGTTTCGTGTTTATGATTGAATTTCAATAAATCGACGATTACTATCTAAGGACACTTCAATTTTCGTTATGACGTAACGACAGTGATTCATAGATAGACAGAGATAGAAAAAAAGAGAAAGAGAGAGAGAGAATATTAAAATGTGAGACTGACCTCGAGAGCGTGTTCCCGTCTATCGAAATAAGTTTCGAGATGCTCGTTGATCTCTAGGGACGCGTAGCGCACGACGTCCCTGATCCTCGCGCAGTCCGCGGCGCCGGGGCCCACCCAGATGAGCGGCGGCTCTTCGGCGCTCAGCCTCTCCAGTACAGCGAACAGCTCCGCCGAGCCGATGCTCGTGTAGGGCGTGTCCGAGCACAGGGAGATCGTCTTCGATGTTACTTCCTGTTACAGTTTTATTTGCAAGTTCACTCATCACTTTTTTTTCTCAACCTAATCGTTGGTAGCCTAAGATACTATTCCAGCTACGCCCGGCCGTGTAGGTGAGCTCACGGACTCAACCTGAGAGAGTTGCTAACACTGACCCTAGCAAGAGCAGTGCTTCGCAGAATCTACCACCGGATCGGAACCGCAACCCACTGAGAAGATCCGGCGAAAAACTCAGTGGGCTGTGTCTATGGGCTAGTTTGCTCGTCGAACTCGTAGACTCCGACGACATCTATTTAACGAGGCAATCTATTATTTAATAATTTTGCTGATGGGAAAATTACTGTCTATACTCGATCAATTTTGGTTTTTAATACGCTTTTATTAGCTTCATACGTATGTTGGTGTGTAACGGAATCTTTGAACATGATTTTGACCCCCTTCAAAACGTCGAGTAATTCGAAATTTGACATAATTATTAAGGACCGATGACAATTCAATATTTTAAACAGTTTGATCCGTTATCCGTACTAGGATAATCAAGATTAGCATTTTTTGTTTTCCTGAGACTTTCCTGGGACCCGGAGTGTCTGCGTCAAGACCAAGAAGGGAAACTACCAGGCGCGCCGGTCATCTATTTCTCGGATAAGTTACCACTTCTGATTCAGACGAAATTTTTGAAAAATTAAAAAAAAAAATGTTTAAAAATTGTAATCAATTAAAAAATGGAAAATAAATAATATTAAAAAAAAAACAAAAAAATGCCGCTTTTATAGAAAATTTAAATAAATAAAGATCGGTTGTCTGTAAAGTCGGTTTACTGACCATGGTTGAACTTGACAACGTCATAAGAAAATACTGATGGAATGGTTTCATTTTCAATTATCGCAATTATCGTTGCTATAAACAATTGACACCACTTTCACTTTTTACTGAACTTCATACTTGACGAAAACATGTAAATGTATTATTGTATAGCAGCTGTCTACGAGGATGCATCGCTCACTCAAGTAGGAGAGAGACAGATGTCGAACGCTGCCGAACGCGGAGGCCGATTGTGCCTCTTTGTCGCTCGTTGCGCGCTCTCGCTTGCACTTCAAGCCTTAAATGGAACGCCTCAGAGCGAGGTAACGCCGCATGAGTCATGTTTTTTCGTGCGTGTAGCCGGCTCCATCAAATTATAAGACGTTGTCACGTCAAAAATAGAAAACTATTATTTTTAAAGATTTGTCATAAAGTTTTGTTTCGATTAGGGAGGGATAGGGATGTGGTATGTATCGTTCGTTGGCTGTTCACCTTGAGCACGGTGTGCAGGCGGTGTATGAGGGCCAGGGGCTGCATGTGCGCGGAGTGGCGCACGAGGGCGGCCACGGAGGCGCGCCACGCGTCGCGCATCACCGGGCCCGCGCCCGGCACCGGGGTCACGTCGCCGCGGTCGCCTGCCGACAAACACACATAGCGCGTCACATAACCTTCTACTCAATACTATTTAAATCTTTTCAAATATCAGTCTTTTTTATTGCTTTGATGTGTGGACGAGCTCACGGCCTACTCGGTGTTAAGTGTTTACCGGAGCCCGTAGACATCTACAACGTAAATGCCGCCACCCACCTTGAGACATTAGTTTTAAGGTCTACTTCGCGACAGAAACAGGCAGGGTGGTGGTGGTACTCACCCGTGCGAACTCACAAGAGGTCCTACCACCCGTAGTTACGCAAATCATAATCTTGCGGGTTTAATTTTTATTTTTATTACACGATGTTATTCCTTCAGCGTGGAAGTCAATCGTGAACATTTGTTGAGTACGTATTCCATTAGAAAAATTGGTTCCCGCCTGCGGAATTCGAACCCCGTTGCATCGCTAAATACGAATGCACCGGACGTGTTATGCTTTAGGCCACGACGACTTCAACACCGTTACCCAAATATTTGATACTAGACATTTTAATAGATTAGAAAAGTTCGCGTGCCGCGACGATTCTCACAATATGAAACAAGTGCCTCTAATATATCAACTACAAATGTGTGAATAATTTATTAACCTAAATACACTCTACCGTCAGGATCTCCGCTGGAGGCGCTTGAGAACGAATGTGTTCTAGGCCTCAGTGATATGTCGTGTTGCGTCGCCATGTCTGCCTCGCTCCTCACGTGGGTGGCCCCCTCCTCCCACCCTGCTTCCTCATCGGACGAGTCATCATGGCCAGCCTAATTGACAATATACAAAAACACAAATTAAATTAATTGATTATTATCCTTGATGCATTTATCAGTCAAATATTGGAAAAATAAATTAAACTCAGAGCAATTAGTCTATACTAATATTATAAAGAGGAAAGATTTGTTTGTTTGTATTGAATAGGCTCCGAAACTACTGAGCCGATTTGAAAAATTCTTTCACTGTTTGGAAGCTACACTATCTCCGAGTAACGTAGGCTATAATGTTTTTTGAAAAAAATTCGAGGTCCTTACTAAAACACCAATAATGTAATGTAACCCAAGGTGTAAAAAAATTACCGAAAATATTCTTTATATCGCGTGCCCTGCGAAAACGATTGAGGATAGAATAAAATAATGTACTACGACTTTGTAGAACACATTATTATTTACAAAAAAAATGTGAGCCGTCACGGGACGCCTGGCAGAGGTGAAACATCGACATTATTTTGTAAAAGTAATATGCAGAAAAGAACAGATTGTGATCGGAACTAAATATGTCATAGTGATAAAATAAAATATTACGAAAAAATAATTTGTTTTCAAGTAAAACACAGGTTATGTGTACTGTAGTATACAACACTGTATACACTACGGAGTATACACTATAGGTATCCGAGCTCAGTGTAGCGAGAGAGATGGCTTAACATCGGATCGAGTGGGAGAGAATCGCACAGTCGATTGCGCAGTCGACTGTACATATATACATATTGCGTGGCGACGGGTCGCCACGGCATGCGTCGCCACGCCAGAAATCGGTTTTACGTGCGGCTAAAGATGTTTCACATCGAAAGTGTTGCGATAACATGTCTAACTATTATAGTTATGCCGCAATAAGTGTTGTTTTATTTAAAAGAATAAAACGTCTAATATCGTTGAAATTTTTGTTAAGGACCCGAGCGGAGCCGGAGCGGGCCGCTGGTGGTACATAATAAAAGAAAAGAAAAAACATATTGTTAATCATACAGGTTTGGTGATCTGCTGGAGTTCAGGAGGTCTCGGCTGCTGCGGTGGAGGACTCCTCTCAGGGATTTGGACTTCATCTCGCTCTTCGCTTAGTGGCCTCCGACGGACACCCCAGTTGAAATTATCTGAGCTTTCACCCTAAATACAGATGATGTCACTTAATCAAGCAGCTATTTTAATTTAATTTCAATCAACATAATATTATTACTTTCTAATTATAACTTCTATGAAATCAAACATAATAATTTTTATTAGAATTTTTACACACAAAATAACTCTACAAAAATAATTTATCTACACTTTTCAGAAAATTGTAACAAAATTAATTAATTATTTTCTAAGCCAAAAAAGATATATTTCTAACATTTTATTGAATATAATAGATATCATAAATGTGATTAATCGCAGACAACAAACCTCTATACTCTCGCTTTCATATTCGAGAAAATCAAAATCCTTGAAGACACCAAAATGATCAGTGGGGGGAGCTCCACCTGAGGGCTCATTTCCAGGAGTACCAGACACCTCCTCAAGCGATGACGCCATAGAAGATTCCCGCTCTAACAACTCCGAGCTTTGGCTGAATATCACCTGACAAGTTAATCAATTATAATTAAAAAAATAAAATATATTCGTCTCTTTGAACTATCAAAGGTCACTTTGTCGAGATTTAAATAGTTCAATTAATCAATTTACTATATTAAATGCGAGTAAAATAATATATAGTTTTATTTTTAAATAAAGTTGAGATGTTTTTCTATACCAAAGAATCAGTGCCTTGAATGTGTGTACATTTGGTGTAGACTTGTTGCTGTAAATTTGACTTCAATTAGCGTCTTTGTGTACGAATGATGTGACAAGTAACATACAAGAGTGACGTTGGGTGCAGTTACTCTTTATTATTGAAATAAATTAGTATGTGTATTTAATTAGCTTACACATAATGTTTTAATATAATGAATACATTTAACAAGTTCAATATTTTACTTTAAATGTAAATTAATTTTTATTTTAAATTACATTGATTTATGACAAGACCACAATCTACCATTGTATTTTCGATTAATTAGAAACAAATCATGAAAACCTTATTATGTTCTACACAATAGTAAAAAAACTCATGACTTGTTTTATATTATGCTTTTAACAGTAAATTAATGTGGTAATTTATTAAATTCTTTTATTTTTGCATTCCATTTTTTTAACTAATTTAGAAATTATTTTTTATAAATAAAAATGAAACATTAATAAATAAAATTAAAGGAACCGGTTTTTTTTAGTTTTAAATTCAGTTATAAATACTATAATCACTTTTCTAAATATATATAGCATGTGGATTAATTTAGTAAAGTTATAAAAATCGAGAAATATATACATATATAGTGTCTATGTCCTAAAGTAAACCTTAAACTAAAAGTTTGTTATTGTGAAAAGCACGCAAGCCACTTAGTATGACTGGTGGGTGAGTGAGGTGGGTGGGCTTAAATACATCAAGTTCTGGGTACAGTGAGGTTTCAAGTACACCTGTATGCATGTAATTTTACTGTTCCTTGAGTTTTAGAATTTAATTGGAAATGCCTCGAAGAATTTTTATTCTTATTTAAAATCACGATTATCTCTATAATACTAGTTGTATTAGTTTTCAAATACTTTTTAAATATAGAAATATAAAGCAGAAGTTTGTAAAACAATTTACAAAAATTTGTGATTAAAATTTATCGATATTAATATACAATGTAAGATAGTCAAGGCAGAAAACTACCCGATTAGGGGTTCCTTGGTAGCAGGAATAGCGATATCCAAGAATTTATTGTTTAAAATTTAGTTTTTTTTTTTAAATTCAAATTCGTAACTTTTTTGTTAATGTTTTAAAAAGACCAAATCCAATAAAACTCCATAACGTTGAACAGTGCGAGCGAGCCTGAGCGTGCCGTGAAAGCATTTGTTTTTACATATGTTTTATGCTTGTTACCTTAGAACATAAAGTGGTTAATAAATCATCCTATATGCAGCGATGGATAGAAACCATTATATTATTGTAATGTATCTATACACATATTGTATATTATATAACAATGTATAAACGTGTTTGAATATGGTACGTTTTGTATGTGTGAATACTTACAGAAGGACTCTTGGGTAGACCCACGCGTTGCCCGCATGTCGTTAGCAAGTTCACCAGGCATTCACGAACACGACTCTGCAACAATATGTTAATGACAGTTTTAAATAAATATCTGTGGCGAACAACACACAATTTTTTTTACTCAATTTTAATATATGAAAAAATGGAATTCAAAGGAAGACTAGAATTTTTTTTATTTTTTTTTTATCCAACACTGAGAATATAAAAATATATATTATTTTAGCTCAAAATGTGTCTTCAACTTACTCATTAATTCAAAACTACATCTTATCGTCTTTTCACAAATGAGACAAGTTTTGTATTTTTTATAAACAACATATAGATTTGTATGATACCTGAGACATCCAAGGTCTCTTCCAGCCGGAGAGCAGAGCGTCGGCCGGTGATAATGACAGTGACAGCGACCGTCGCGGTGACGTGCTGGTCTCGGGACCGACCACGGTGGACGCGCAGCCCGAGCGCGATGCTGACGAGCCTGGACAGCGAGAATATCATATTAGAATGAAGTGTTTATATACATGAGTAAACAATAAACATACAGAGACAAAGATACAAACAACCGCGCCATGGTAGATACATCATTACGAGTATTAGATTTAGAATTTACCATTTGATTATGAGGTATAAAAATTATTAAAAAACAAAAATTCCGAAAAAAAAAAACTATTTAGAGTAAGCAATTTATAAAAAAGCTAACAAACGTTTTGTGTATTTATTTTAATCCTCCTGTGACAACCCTATCAGAATAGGTAACAATTTTGCTTGCTCTTTAGAAGCTTGGTCTCTGTACGTTTATTTACTCATGTAGTTTAAGTACATTTTGTTACAGCAATAGTATAGTAATCGTATAAAACGATTGTTTGACTGTGCATTTTCGATATTCATCAAGTGATCTGCCGACCTTGGATTGCTGCCTGCGTTTGAAGATAAAAATTATTTTTTTTGCATTCAAATTAACATTTTTTTTAAAAACGATGCTTTTTTATTGCTTCAAAACAGTTTAATGGATGTTTTACCTTTGTCTGGAGTAGTGCTGGAGGCATTTGATAGAGAGCTGGGTCCGGTGGCTGGTTGACTGCCGGCCTTCGGTAGGTACTTCCTGCCGATTACGGGCGTTTGGGACAGATCAAATGTGAAATCCATGGTTCGTCCCGGTAGCTCCTGGAACGTAAGATAGCTTGTATTGTTTTTGTCAAATTATTATTTTTTAAATATATACAATTTTGAGGTAGAGAAAAAATGTGTTAGTTAAAATTAATTAGTTTTCTCGCTCACTGTCTCGCCTTCCCACGATTCAAAGTATATGTATACTGTATTTATACATCTGGATATAAACAGTCCTTATAAAACTCAATCGAGACTCTCACCTCATAACCCAAGGTGGGTGAGACATCTACGTTGTTGATGTCTATGGGCTCCAGTAAGCACTCAACACCAAGCGATCCGTCAGCTTGCCCACTCAACTAAGTAATAATAATAAAATACTACTAGTACTGTAATCGGTGTAATAGGGTCGTATTTTCGTATATTATGTATGCATATGTCGGGTATAGTATATAGTCCTGACAATAGTGAGGTCGATATTATGTACCTTCTTCCCGTGTATCTCGGCGTCGAGCAGCGAGGACGCGGTGCTCTCCCAGGACGGCGGCACCACCAGCGTGGAGCAACGGGTCACAACCAACTTCAATATCTTCATCGCCTCCCTGTAGTTGTTTCCTTCTTGCTGTAATCAAATAATTACACATCACTAGTGGTCCTCCGGTAGTCGGAATTCGATTATAATTAATTGAAATTATAAGTTTGAACATTATTATACTTCTATAATCACAGATTTCGCCAAGATTCAAAACATAGACAAAATGATATTAAAGACAAACAATATTAATCTATTCACAATTTGACCTCATAAAAAATAACAAAAACCTGATTTGTAGTTATAGTCGTAGTGTCAAATACATGGTAGTGGGTGGTTTTTTTTTTAGTAGATTTAATATCTTTTTTACATTTACATTATACAACGGTTGTCCCACCCTTCAAACCGAAGCACATTACTACCTCACGGCAGAAATAGGCGGGGTGGTGGTATCTGCCCGTGACAGGACGTCCTACCACCGTATATTCGGTATTCAACTCGCTCGTCCATCTACACAGCAAAACTAATAATGATGCGATCTTACATCGATAAACTTGGCGACGGCTCGCAGCAGGTCCGTGTTGACCGGCTGAGCTGGCGCCGCGTTCAGATCCACGTAGTACAGCATGCAGTGCAGGATCGAGAGCACCGGTAGCTGCAGGCTGGTCGAACCCTGCGCGTGGAACGTTTAATAATCAATCGATATAAGTAGACGCTATCTATTCAGTATCGAGAACTATATTATACTGGTAAATATTACAAGTCAAACTGCCTTTTCAATAAATAATTGCTTGTTATCAGAGTTATGGAACACTTGCACTTGTTCAATCGTCACGAAACTTTACTATTGTTTATTTTTCTGGTGACAAAATAAAGTCAGTTTTCTATTGAACTGGAATAATGATGAATGTGAAAGGTAGCTAATGAAGCCCTCAAATGTACCCACTGAGTTTCTCGCCAGATCTTCTCAGTGAGTTACAGTTCCGATCCTGTGGTACATTCTGCGAAACACTGTTCTTGCTAGGGCTAGAGTTAGCAATTTCACTCAGGTTAGGCCCGTCAGCTTACCTACCGGTCCACGTGAAGTTGGAATAGCCTTATGTTACCAACGATTAGGTAAGAAAATAAAACCTAACCTAAAATGTTTACATCTTGACTCATCGAGTTTAAACTCATTAAATTACTCTCAATAAGTTTTATGAAAAATACGACCGTTTTTAAAACAATTTTAATTACAACTTTGGTTTGTTTTGTTATAATTTAATATTAAATATATTTACATCTAATGGGAAAAAGTAAAGCAGTAAAGTATGATTTTCTAGTCTATTTGTTAACAGATTTTCTTTAATTTATTAGGTAACTGTTGACGAGTTTCATAATAATGTTATGTCTATTTTGTGAGAAAAAGTATTTATTGTTATTTAAAAAAGAATACTAATATATATTATTATAGAATGTAATACATAAAGCTAATCTAAGCTTTCATTATTATCGCATTTTCATCAATAGGTATAAACCAGTTAATTTATAGAAAAGTAAATAAAGAGTGTGTCACTGAATTAATGTTTAAATTAAAGTAACAAACTAACCTTTTCGAGTACTTCCACTAGAAAGGCCAGCATCTGCAGCGAGAGATGAGAATATGTGTCCCACAGATATTTGACGACACACTTGGTCCACTGGAAGCTCTCCTTGCTGAAGGTGCGACGCGAGTATAGAGTCATCACCGTTCCCAAGTTCTCTAGTTTCTTACTCTTCTCTGATGTAAACTGTGAGTTGAATGGCGGTGATAAATATGAGTTGTTCATATAATTTTTTTAGTAGCTAATTGAAAGTATTATCAGTATGAGAAACATCAATATTAGTTCATCTTTAACATTGATTTTTTGTGATTTTATTTTTATTGATTACCATGTTAATCAAAGCCATTTTTTTTATCATACATCCATCTTTCATTTTTAGTAAAGTCCATCTTTGATGCATGATAGGGTGAATGACCTCATCGTCCTACTGGTAATGAATGATTGTTCAAGTCTTCAAATGTCACACTAAGTATGTTGTTATCCACTTTGAGACTTGAGGTCAAAGTAATGTCATTGTATTGTATGAAGGCTTTAAAAATGAACGAATTATTATTTCGCGACAGAAATAAGCAGGAAGATGGTTTCCATTTATATGGGCGTTCAATGCACTCTACATGCAGGTAGCAAATTGAAGTGTATAAATTAGGTTATTAAATTAAAATTTCTTAATTAAAAGTAATCAGATACAGGGTGTTCTAATTTCTGTTGAAATTTAAAGTGACAAATTGAGATTTCGTCTTCTAATCTGTAATCTGTGATCAATTTGTCATAGTATTGGATAGATACCTGTGCTATATGGCAGGCCGCTCTGACGCACAGCTGATTGGCGTCTTCATAGTGCAGCAACATGTACGGCAGAAGAGCTACTACCGTCATCGGGAAGGCCACGGATTGTGTGGGATCGATGACGGGCAGCTCCAGTAGTGGGATCATGTCGGCTAGTACTCCGACCACAGGCTCGTACGTGTTGGGATGAGTGCAGCCCTGCTCACGGAACAAAGCATTAAATATTGTGTCAAAATATTAACACTTTTAATTTCATAATCGTTTCCGTGTTCAATAAACTTGGATAAAATTAAGGTATGACAACATATTGTGCCCTGCCTATTTCTGCCGTGAAGCAGTAATACGTTTCGGTTTGAAGGGTGGGGCAGACGTTGTAATTATACTGAGACCTTAGAACTTATATCTCAAGGTGGGTGGCGCATTTACGTTATAGATGTCTATGGGCTACAGTAACCACTTAACACCAGGTGGGTTGTGAGCTCGTCCACCCATCTAAGCAATAAATAAATAAAAAAACATATACTTAATACATTCATACCTTACGATCGTTTTATTTTGAAATTATTAAATACGCGTACCTTTAGAAGCAGGGCATGCAGCGATGGGGATGTGTGAGCTTGAGTGCGATCCAGCCTCTCTCTAGCGTCGGGTCTATCTAACGGCAACCGGCACATGACTCTGGACAGCAACCTGACTCCTAGCAAGAACTCGTGTTCATAGTCGCTCTCCAACAGGGAGGCTCCGACCCAGAATAATGTCGCGAGGATCGTCAATTTATCATCCTACAAATTGAGATTAATATTAATTTCATAATTTTTTAAACAACAAATTATATTCTATATTATGTCAATGTATAATGTTTAATTTTCTTATCTCTATGGTAAATTGTTTTAGATTTATAGATATAGTTGTTGCAAAATACGACGGCGCGCCGCCCTTAGTTGTGTAAATGACCATTTTGTATACAGTAGATTGGGGGGAATAGAGACTAAAGTTAGAATAGGCAAAAATCTGGGATATCACAATACTTTTGTTGAGTTGTTAGATTTAACTTTGTTGAACTGAAAATGACTTTTATTTAATGTTTAAGAATATTAAATAGTTTTATTTAGTCATCAAAGTTTTTTAACTCATTAAAGATATTAAAAAGTTAATTACCTAAAGTTAGGTACCTATATAACAACTAAATAGTGCCAGTTCTATCGAAAAACTATTGTCCCCATACGTAACCTGATTCACCCCAAAGCCAAGGTGAATCGGGTCAAGCTAGTTTTCAGTTATCGTGTCGTGTATAAAAAAATTAAGGCTCCGGGACCATTTTAATCTCAATTTTATTGGTACCCTAATATTGAAATTGAATAATATTGAATAATTGAAAATTTGTGTTGAATTTGAAAAGAGTCCCATCTACGGTACGCGTCAATGTAGGCTATATGTAGTTAATGTAGCTGCTGACCAGTGACCGCTCTGTCGCGGACACACTAACAAAAATGTGTATTTACGATTACAACTATAAAAATAAAATCCACGCGCGCTCGTACTTTGCAACAACTATACGTGAAATAACCGATTTTTAGGCTATTGCGTAGTTTTAATCGCGGACTTTGAGCGCGGCGACCGAATCGAGAAATTCCGTAACGAAAATAAAACCCAACGTCGTGACGTCGCACTGCATGCGCATCATGAAAAGTCTGCCCATCTCTTTCTCGCGCGGTTTAGCTTATGCGTGTGAAGGGGACAGTTAATGTTTTGCTTTTGTTAATGTTTATAAATATAGCGTGGTCTTATTTTATTATTGTTTCAATATTAAATTATTATTGTCTAATTATAATTGCATAAGTTGATACAAAATGCTATGCATGCTATGCTTTACCGCGGCAGTCCCCGAGTGCCACACGTGTTTTTTTTTTAATTTTTCTTTGTAATAATGTATGAGACCGATTTATGATGACAATGAATAGTGTAATCCATTTAACAGACCTGCGTGGCGGTGTCGCCGAGCAGCTTCAGTGACTGCGCTGATCTCGACCGGCACAGGTTGGAGCAGGCGCCTTTACCGGCCTCAGGACACACGCGGCCGCGTTCTGACGACAAACATCGTTACAGGAATAATTATCCATACACCAACATTTCTTGTACAATAAAGTGATATAATATTATAAAGAGAAAAGATTTGTTTGTTTGTTTGTTTCAGAACAGAACTGTTGCTACAGAACCGATTTGAAAAAATCTTTCACTGTTTGGAAGCTACACTATTACCGAGTGACGTAGGCTATAATCTTTTTTGAAAAAAACTAGGGATCCTTATTAAAACTCCAATAATGTAATCCAAGGTGTAAAAAAATTACCTAAAATATTCTTTACATTGCGTCCCCTGCAAAAACTATTGATGATAGAATAAAATAATTTACTACGACTTTGTAGAACACATTATTATTTAGAAAAAGTTTCGCGACAGCATATATCTAACTATTGTAGTTATGCCGCAATAATTGTTCTTTTATTAAAAAAGAAATAAAACAACGTCAAATATCGTTGAAGTTATTGTTAAAGACCCGAGCGGAGTCGGAGCGGGCCGCTAGTGTACAATAAAGTGATTTTATGAAGCAATTAATTGTCGATGTGAGTCAATGACGGGAATCTGGTTTTTACTGGTGGTAGGACCTCTTGAGAGTCCGCACGGGTAGGTACCACCGCCCTGCCTATTTTTGCCGTGAAGCAGTAATGCGTTTCGGTTTGAAGGGTGGCAACCGTTGTAACTATACCTGAGACCTTAGAACTTATGTCTCAAGGTGGGTGGCGCATTTGCGTTGTAGATGTCTATGGGCTCCAGTAACCACTTAACATCAGGTGAGCTGTGAGCTCGTCCACCCATACTAAGCAATAAAAAAATCTTCATTGAAAAAAAAAACGCCATTTAAATCGATTTATTTTGCACATCATCTTCTGCAAAGAGAAATTCTGGGAAAATACTTGAATTTCTCACTGCATACAAGCGTAACTGGGCAAAATAATGTTACCGTGCTGCTTGTCAGATCCGGAAGCCTGCACGTTGCTCTTCCTGATGCAGTAGGACACGGAGTAGCTCGTGCTCCTCGTGTGATTGTTCACGCACCCCACGCACACGCCGGGAGAACGCTTGCCTGGTATCACTACGAAAATACACGCTTATTCACTCTCAATCTAAGATTCACACTTTCGAGTGTTTCATTATGAAAAAGATATTTAAAAGGAAAACAATAGATATTATTGAAAACAATAACACAAATATTCCTAATGAATCCTAAATTCCTAGTGAATATTTGTAAATCTATCAATTGTTTCATTGATATTATTTTACCATGGTTACAACAGGTTAGATAATATCGATGTGTGAAAGACTATTTAGTATAAACGCAATTTTTGCAACTTTACAGGAGAGCCATTTAAAGTTTGAAGTTTGGAAAAAAAATCATAAAAAAAAAAGCTTCTTCAGCTATTTCAATTATGTCAAGTTCAATTAAAAACATCGAACTGTTGATGCGAATACAAAGATAAATGTCGCTTACTAAGCGAAATGTCGCTTAAACCAAATAGCCTTTCACACCCCTCGATATTACAATGTACGCGTTTTCACTTAGTCATGTTCCCGACTTTAAAATTCCTATTGCTACGTCATTTCATTGAATCAATTTAATTTGATGTTTTTCATTCATATTCCCGTAAAATGTTACGTCTATAAACTGACCTGCAGGGTACGTAGCGCCGTTAGGTTGCTGTCCCTCCTTATTATTCAAATTTGGCGTCGATTTGAATATATCTCTCATGTAGTCCAGGGGCCTAAAGTTTGACTCGAGCGAATCAACAGCCGCCTCCAGAGTGAGAAGGAGTTCCGTGACGTAGCCCTGCATATCTTCTCCCTGCTCGGCAACAGTCTCCACCAGACGAGAGAGAATGTCGGAGACCATTCGGCCCGTCATCGCTACACCGATGAACCGGAACACCTGTTGAGATAATTCATCGTCAACATTGTTCAAAATTATATGACATAAGATGATTTAAGAAATATTATTCGACATCAACGACTATATCAGAATACGATCAATTCTTAACATAATTCATCAAGAAGAATGTATCATAGCGTTGATATCTTTGTAATAAAGTTATTATGTAGTTCATCGGGTAATATGTTTTAAATTATATTAGATAATTTAAATTAAATTATAAGCTTTAAATATATAATTCTATTGCATGTGTGTACTAAACAGCTGGACCGAATCGAATGATTTTTTGTATATATATTCATTCATCCATTTCATTCATTTTATGTACACAGGACAACGTCTGTCGGATCCGCTGGTACACATTAAATCAGAAATTACATTTAAAAGAAATACAATTAAATTACAATACAGTGTAATCGTTATTATTGTTGTATAGTTGAGTAGGTAGGTACCTGCAGGGATCGTCCTGCGTAGTGTCGCGACGGACAGGACAGGCCGAGCTGCAGGGCGGTCTGCGCCCAGCGCTCCGACACCAGCGCGTGCGGCAGGGACTCGCGGAACACTCGCAGCACGTGCCCCACCAGGGTCTGCATCTGTTGACAGCTCCGGAGTGTCCATACTGTGCCAACGAAAACAAAAAACAATTTATTTTTATCGATACTTTCTCTCTCTCTCTTCGATCGGTCCCTCACTGCTGAGGATCGTGACTCCGTCCGATTCCGTCAACTAGCTGTCTCCGTCGATCCCGTTTTGTAACTTGGTGGAGTGCGTCGCTGACAGGTACCCTCAGTTCCTCCGCTATTTGGACCGACCATCGTTTGGGACCTCTAGCCCTAGGCCTTTTTCCCTCTATTTTACTGGTCACCACAAGGCGTCCCAAATTACTGGTATTCCTGCGTGCAACATGACCAAAATATCGCAATATTCTTTGTAGGCAGGTTGTGGAGATATCGTTTCTTTATAATATTATTGCCATTTTAACGTAAACTTAATGGTCCCCTGGTAGTCGAATTTCGACTATAATTAATTGAAATTATAAGTTTGTACACTATTATGATTCTATTTTTAAATACTATTATACTTTTATAATCACAAATTTCGCCAAAACTACACTATAAACAAATATTAATAGAGACAAACAATATTAATTAATCTTTTTTAAATCTCATTTTAATTTATATTCTTATTGTTATGAAAAATAATAATATGGAGTGCAATGAAATGAAGATGATTAATTTGACACATTAATCAACAGGGATGAAATTAAATTAAATAAGATGAGATGATATGATACGAAATATAATCTCAGTAAAATGGTGATCATTTACTGAGATTTTTTTCAGTGGACTATTTGGAGGATCCCGAGAAGTTACGTCCAGCGGCTTTGTTTCATTTTTCCACATTTGTGCACTCTCACAGATATTAAACTGTTAATAAATCACCGTTGTTACACATTTAAACCTGAAGAAACACTTAATAGACAAAATAAAACAAATCACACAACTTCACTCCTCGCGTTCCCGCCAAAAAGTCCTTTTCTTTTCTATTAATTAATCTATTCTCAATTCGACCACAGATTTTAAGCAATAAGAAAAGTTTGACAATAAACAAATAGTATGCATGCGTGTGTGTGTGTCTTTATTGATTTAATGTATTTTTTATGCATAATTAAAAAAAATACTAACATTCTGCACTCCTATATATTCTATAAAAGTGTCAGAAATTTCAGACTCCTCCGTCCGCGCAGTTTTCGTAAAATGGAGTACAAAATGTTTGCTTAACGTATTAATATATAGATATAATTTCACCTTTAGCGGTAATGTCCTCATACTGCCAGAGCGGCATGTGGGTGGGTCGATTCGCCAAGAAGTGCACCAATGACTTGATGACGTCAGCGATCGGCATCTCGGCCGGCTCCGGCTCGGGGTGTTCCGGGATCGGGTCCGCGTCCGCCTCGCCGGTTATGATCACCGGGAGAGACGGGAAGTTATCGGTTTCACCTGCTCGCGAATTAAAGCTTACGTTAAGGTAAGGTACGAACGAGACGAGAACATTATATTATAATTACTAAATTAAAATTACGATTAATAGCTTTGAAAATGCTAAAAGAATGTGTTCCAAATGTTTTTTTGGAACGAAGTTCCTTATGGGACGATGCGGAGGGGTACCCTAATCAAGAAAAAACATCCGTAACGTAAGATTTTTATTATTTATCTATAGTCTTAGTATGATACTAGGCTTAGGCTATACACTGTCTAATGTGTAGTTCTACGTGATGACGGTTATTATTATTATTCATATAAATAGCTGTTTCTTTGTATATTATTATTATATATTTTTTATAAATTATTGTGAATTAAATAAAGTTGATAACTTTGTAAAGTAGTTTTTTTTATTTTTATCAATAAAAATCATAATAAAAATGTATATCCGAATAATTATTTTCTTTATACCTCGAATAGAACTTTAAGGAACTTCGTTCCTATCCGGTGTTCCACGACACCAAACATCTTTTTTTATAATTTATTCACAAATTTTTTAAAAGTAGTTTAAACACACTTCTAAAAATGCAAAATGTCAAAATGTTAATGAGCCTTCTTGTTCGTACAACTGATTAATTACTGACATGTGGTGTTGCGATAGTGGCACATAAAAAATACTATTCCTTTTTCGCACTTTTATTGTTCTTTTCTCAAATATTCGGTATTATAATAATTAAAAATGATCTGACACCTTTTTTACGCCTTACTCATTCAATCATCTTCGCCGTCTTCTTTTTCTCTGTCATTCTCTTTTCTCTTTCTTTACCGTTTTCTCTCACTCTGATCTTAACGCTCCATTTCACGCTCTTTCCATACGTTTCGTTCTTACCAATGTTACATACATATATTAATGTAGGTAGTGTTTAAGTACGAATGTTACCTTCGGGTGTGGTTTGAGGGTCTGAGCTGAGGGACCGGACGTGCGACCTCGGCGAGTGCGCGCATTGGGGCTGCTTATCAAACGACGCATCAGGCTCTGAAACAATTTCAACAATATGTCAATATTACTTTAGCCAAAATTATACGAACAAGGTGTACTTTCCTAAATATCTTCGATCGATTCTTTATGGAAAGTCAACAAACTCTTGTACAACAACTATTGGAAACTCAACAAAAGTATTGTGAGATCCCAGATTTGTTCCTATTCCTCCAATCTACTGTATGGAAGGAGAAAACGTGTTGCGCTGACCCCACGTGACCGGGAAAAGGGCAGGAAAATAATGATAATGATGAATATGTTAGGCAAAGTACATACCGGTGAAGTTGTGTTGAACAATGGGCAGCGTAGGCGGAGTACCGAGCCCCAGCTGAGCGGACCGGCTCGCCAGCAGCGTCTTCGCTACCGTCAGGTGGTCGTGGTGGGCGGCCACCGCCACCAGCAGGTTCAGTAGCAGCTGCCGGCAATGCTGGTGAACTATCCACCTGCAACAAGATCGCGCACGTAAGCCCTGCAGAGGAAAACGTTGTTTAGGGCTGCGAATGTTCCGTCCGTTGATATATTACTTCTATGACTAGTGTAGTTTAAACAGCACACACACTGTTACACGGCTAGTTTGTTTGTTGGCTCTGCGTATAAAAATCAACTACGTGTGACGATGTGTGTGATTAAAATTCAACAAACATAACCAATTCGTTAGAAAAACCCAATGTAATTTATTTTAAATTTTATAAAAATACATTTTCTCTTTTTCGAAATAATAATTAAAAAGGGGTATTCAAATTTTAGATATTTCTCGGTTTTTTTAAAGAAAATAGTAAACAAATGTTGGAAAAAACATGTTACCTTGTGTGGTCCATCCCGAGGAACACTATGTGTAGCATCAGCGGAACATGAATAGACCAGTCTATCTCGACTCCGTCGAGGACGACGTCACAGAGCAGCATGACCGCCACGTTGCACCGGTGGAAGCCGGAGATCGGTTGGTTGCTGTCCGGCAAGTACTCGGTGAGGAGAGCAAAGAAGCCGCCGTACTCCGGCATCGGGAGGGGTCGCGGCTGGGGCACGTCCACGCGCGCCTCCTGGGGCGTCGAAGGAGCGCTGCCCTGAAGGGGCGTAGCGCTTAAATCCGGACCGAAGCCAGTCTGGTGAATGTAGTAATTTAATAATGAACAATGGTATGGTACTGTTAAAGAAATTACAGACATCATTGTTTGAGTAAAAACATTCCCAAATCACTGTACAAAAAATATAAATTTCTTTTATTTATTCATTCGGACAGCACGTAAAATCTACTGGATCTGGTCAGACTTAAAAAATGATGTATATTGCTGAAAATATAGTGAAAATTTGGTAGGCAACGGCTTGGCTCTGCCCCTGGCATTGCTGACGTCCATGAGCGACGGTGATTACTTAACATCAAGTGGGCCGTATGCTCGTCTGCCTACAACGGCAATAAAAAAAAAAGATAATATATGTACTACTGTACTACCATCAGGTGGGTCGTATGCTCGTCTGCCTATAAATGCAATATTTTATTTTCTAAAGACACAATTATTTTACTGGTGGTAGGACCTTTTGTGAGTCCGCGCGGGTGGGTACCACCACCCTACCTATTTCTGCCGTGAAGCAGTAATGCGTTTCGGTTTGAAGGTCAGCCGTTGTAACTATACTGAGACCTTAGAACTTATATCTCAAGGTGGGTGGCGCATTTACGTTAACACCAGGTGGGCTGTGAGCTCATCCACCCATCTAAGCAATAAAAAAAAAGGCAATGGGTCATCATCAGTACAGTGGGATACGTACTGGGGTGGCGTCACCATCAGAGGGCGGCGGAACGTCTTCCAGGGCGGGCGGCGTTGAGCACGGCGGGTTTGACGACCGCTTGTCCTGTCTCGGGTTGGGCGTGTCCGGTGCCTTAGCTCCACTATTAATACACACAATATTCATTTATGATTTCAGTCTGTATGTAAGCATTAGTCCACAAGGTTGCTGAACCAATTCGAGTGAGGTTTTCAGTACATCACTTATTAAAATATTTTTAGGTTTGTTAAACACTTTGTATTATAGATATGTATATGTTTATCGAATTTAACGCGACCTTTAAATGAGTCTGACCTTTCATTTACTGCTCTGCACTACATCTTCATCTTAAAATGCACAATATGAATATCAGTTGATTACTATACTACGTATTTAATATACTAGGGGTCGCCCATAATTACTTGAATTATGAGTTTGAACATATCATTAGTATGGTTCTATTGTCACATTTATATAATCATCATTTCTATATTAATTAAAGTTCTATAATCACAGATTTTGCCAAGGTTACAATATAGACAAATAACATTAAAGGCAAAAAATATTAATCTATTCTCAATTTGACCACAGACTAACAATAAATGAAAAAGTACCATAAATGCGTGTGTGTGTCAAATGCATGGTAGTGTGTGTAATGTTTATAGTATATTTTTATGAATAACTTTAAAGAAATATTTGCATTCTGCATTCCTTCTCTATATACTCTTTCCTCCTCCCTGAGTCGCATTCCTCATGTCTGAGGGTCGTGAACATCTCCTTCCATATTCTCTATAAGTATAAGGAAATTTAATACTCCTCTGTCCGCGCAATTTTCGCAAATAGGGATACAAAGTTTTTGCTTTACGTATTAATATATAGATGTACAATTATTAACAAGCACGGCCGTGTCAAACAGTGATGTTCGTTTGTCACTGTACATTTCGATCGTCAATTAAGGGTTCGTGTTTCCACACGTCGTCGCGTGACAAATATGTACTATTCGGAAAATCCGAGCCGTGTAGGCAGCCTTTGTTTATTGGAAAGCTCAATATAACGAGAGTATAACGGAAGCTGTAGGCATTTTCTTTTTTAAAGTATCAAATTTAAATACAGATAATAAACTGCGGAAAGAGTTTTAGTATAAGGATGCTAAATGAGAGAGTTAGCTAGTGTCAATGTGTTGGAGGTTAAATCCTATTATTGTTTAAGATGGCGCGAAAATACCGCGTTTAAAACATATCAGGTACATATCTGAAATATAAAGTAAATAAAAAAAATACATAGCTTGTAGCTCCTATTAGACTTAACATTTTATTATTAGTGAAATTCGGGTATATAAGTTTATACAACGATTTTGTACAGGAAAATGCTCTTAGAAATTTCAGGAAATCCAATTTCACGGAAACTCCTTCGGTATAATAATATATACCTATAAAACTTTATTCCGGCAGTCTATTGACGTCGTTGCATGGTTTCATTTGAAGCCACAGACATTTTGAACGTTAAAGGACATTTAAAGAGTGTAAAATTGAAAAATTCTCTTTGTAAGCAAAAATAACGTTTTGAAACCTAGCTCTTTGATGAGAGAGAAATTTTGGGACCGCCTCCGGTATACGATACCTCCGAAGGAGCTCTGCTAAGCAACGCAAATTAATTCGATAATGCCCAGGCATTTCCAACTTAGCTGAGAATAATCCCATAAACATTCAAGTACACTCTAAAACTCGATAATTAATGAGATGAAATACACAATTTGGGCTGAAATAGCGTCCTCTTATGTAATTCTATTTTCGACCTTTCACGTTTACAAGTCCACTTGAAACGTCTACAAGGGAAAAATATGTATTTGGATAAATGTTTAATGAAGAAGGTGCGAGATTGCACCAGTACTTATTGCAGTCCTGCTATTCAAGTCTCATTCTCATATTTGTTTCAGTAATTGGTTTCGAAAATAAATCTTTTATTAACATGTAGCATAGTTTAGACAGTGAGTTATCAATAATTGGGCTCTAAACACGTCATTAATGATCCTCCCGATCCATTAACGATGCTTTTAGGTACCTCAAGCACCGGTCATCGTCCCCGCCGAACCCGTCACTTGCGACGAAGGGCTTGACGAGTAAATTAACCCAAAAGACACAGCCCACTGAGTTGAACTTCTAAATCAGCAAGTAAACGTGGGACGGGCTATTGAGTGGAATCGAGTGAGTGAGTTCCTGCTGCTACAGAGTACCAACGGTGGATTTGTAGAAATTCCTTTACCAATATAGTGATAGAACCTTCTTTTAAGTTATATAGGTTTTCAAGTATATATTTATTTTTCAGTTTATCTTTAATTTGTCTGTCTTATTTGTCAAGCCAGTCACACGATTTTTTATAAAAGTTATAGTGACAAGAGACGTCTCAGCCTTATGTGTTTCCTGGACATCACATATAGACGTTTTTTCCTAAGCTTACTAATATAAGACACTAAACAGATGGAAATTATTATTAATACTAGTGGTAGTCGAAATTTGACTATAACTAATTGAAATTATAAGTTTCTACAGTAATAAAATCCTATTGTCAAAATCTATAATCACATATTACGGCAAAACTATTTAAGGAGAAACAATATTTAATCTATTCTCAATTTAACTACAGATTATAAGCAATCAGAAAAGTTTGACAATAAACATATTGTATTTATTATACTTGACACACACACGCGTGCGTGTTGTCAAGTACATGGTAGTGTGTGTAATGTTTTTTTTATTGATTTAATATATTTTATATGCATTATTTTAAAAAAAATTAACGTTATGAGCTTCTTTTCTATATTCTCTATAGTGTGGGAAATTTCATTCTGCTCCGTCCGCGCAATTTTCGTAAAAAGGGATACAAAGTTTTTGCTTCACGTATTAATATATAGATAATATATGTACATATATAGCGTCGGTAATATACTAATACACTAATAGTCGTAGTCAGTAATAGATATATTAGTGACTCCTCAGTCTTCAAATTACTTGTCGTTGTTTCTCTGTAACTTTACGAGTCCGAACACGAAATTCCATTGGCGATACTTTAAGTAAATTCGTTGTCAGATGTTTTTGTTCATTATCAAATTCGCAATACACACTAGATATGATCTAACTAAAAACACCACTGTATTTAATCTATATAACACATGCAACTCAAATTTCGCGCCAGAATGGAATACAGTTGTGCCAATCTGACCAAAACAAAAAAAAAGTTTGAAAACATAAACAAATCATCCACTCTCGATACTTTTTTGACTGAATCTATCTTTAAAATAATTGAGTGTTTATAAATTTTTTAAATAATTGGATGGGTTTCAATTTCGTATTTAGAGCTCAGCCCGACTAAGACGGAAACAGTTTCGAGTGTAAGCCGATGTAATGAGACGAGAATGAATAAGTTCCGGCAGCGAATCGAATTAATTCCGTAAAATCGGAGCCCCTATTTGAGTGGCTTTAGAACTACTCAGACATGTTCAACTCCGGTTCTCTTGTTATATTAATAACATTTTATGTGTAAATACGAAAACTCGCACAGTCGCGAAACACCAATAACTACCGTACAAGACAACTGTAATAAATAGAATATGAAAACAAAATTGAATTTGAATTTGAAAAAAACATAGCAATTGTGTGGGAAAGCTTATAAAGCTGTGTTATATCATATAACAAAAAAAAGGAATTAGTATCTCATTCGTATTAAGTATTTAAATCTCAAAGAGAACAATAACATTGATTTAATGTAACTTATGCAATATTGGCTGGCACGTGATCGACTACGGGCCCAAATTAGCTTGATACTTTCCGCATGACCGTCATGGGGTCTCAGCTCACCCCGCGTCGTGCTATAGACCTACAGAGCTAATCATTAATCGTTACATTCTACCCTTCCTGATACAACGATTTTATTACGAATTTATCAACGTCCGAAGATGTCACATTATTAATGTAATATTTTTTATTACACGCTTTATATTAGCTTCACTTGTATGTTTGTAACTGACTCCTTTAGACGCGATTTTGACCCACGTTAAACGCCCTGATTTCATTCAAACTTTGTAGATTTATCGAGGACCGATGACAATACACTAATTTGATAAGATTATTCCATTATTTAATTTGCAAAATAATATTTTTGAAAATTAAATAATTTGTATCTATAGTCGATAAGGCAGGAATTGATGTTAAAGTACTTAATAGTTTAAAAAATACGTTTTTATAGAAAATTTAATTAAAAAAAATGAAAATTCAATTTTAATAAATTTAAATTGAAAAAAGTGTAAAATATATTATTTAAAAAAAAGCGTGGCTTGCTTTTTAAGATATTATTGAAATAAGTTCTTAGGTCAGTTGAATTTTATATAAAGCGTGTTTTTAGTTTTTTAAAACTATTATTTATTCAAATAATATTATTGTATCGATGCATGGCTGCAGTCGTTACATCATTCTCTATTTGATAGTTCATGTCCCAAGATAGTTATGGCCATGGTCTTCGGTAAAAAACAGGTACAGGTCACTCATTTAGACAATGAAAAAGTAAATAGGGAACAACCAACCTTGCTTTGGCGGGATCTTCACCGCTATGCCTCTTCGTGTGGATGGTTCCTTTCTCGACTGGCGCCAGTTCACCTGTCCGACCGGTTGCGTCCTAACACACAACACGTGACGTTAGCGAATAGCGATCCCTTTTGTACCCACGAATGCGACAATTAGAAACGAAATTCGCAATAGAAATTGAAAGTAGTTTCTGATGACTTTAGTTGTCTGTAGACACCGCAACGTCTACAATAGTAAACTATTTGAGTCTAGATCTTAGGGTGTAAGTGAGAAAGTATTATCGGGTGAGTGTGATATTTAGCAATCGAAAATATGTATTTACATAACTAAAGGCAAAACAGCTAGGTAACATTTTCCCTTCTGTGTGCGAGTTTTTTAAAGTTCTCGATAGAGTAAAAGTTAACCCAATTTTGTATGCAGTTGGAATAGCGCCGTTGGAAACGTAGGCAAACGAACCCATTCCATACAAATATGAGCTAACTTTTACGCTATCGAGAACGTTAAAAAACTAAACACACTGTTCATTGTCAAACGTTTTCTTTCTCTTTTAGGGGCTATTGACGAGCTTTATCAATTAATAATATTTTTGGAGTACTTTTCTCATTTTAAATGTCAATAGAAAATACGTGAAAAGGTATATTTTTTGAATGAATGAGCAGGGAATTGTTTCAATTTTGATGCGTGTTCTACTGGTCCCCCCGGTCCCCCGGTCACCTGCGAGCCGGTGCCGGGTCCGTCGCTGTGTCCCGACGTGGCCTTGCGCATGGATGTGAGCCTGTAGAAGGGCGGAGTCTCCGTGCGCTCGATGAGACAGTTCAAAGTCTCGACTGTCTGCAGTTCCGTCATCATCTCATCAAGAAGTCGCTCGGGCCGGGGTCGGGCCAGATATAAGACAACGCGTTTCGCCTGCATTGTAAAATTAAATAACTATTACCTAGCGCTCCGGTTAAAACATACTCGCCAGTTTAGTCAAAAATATTGCAACGCATCGTATCCCCTTTGTCTCTTTGAGCACTTCTAAATTAAAAGGGCTATTAGAGGACAAAAACACTCGAGCACTCAACATCAAAGTCCACCAGGTAGCTGTCTGTTGGGTAACAACAAACAAAACAATCTTTCCCAATCGTATTAAAGCGTAAAATGATCAGTCTCCCCCGTCCGAGTCCTAGGGTTCCCGCCATCGCTAATAGGGCCAAATTTAATAAGCCCGTGCATCGAAAATGACGGTTGGCAAGGGCCCGATCCTGACTACCGCTTTGTGTTGTGCGCAATTAATTTACATCCATTAGAGCGTCGCGGGCGTTCGGCGACTGACAAGCTCCGTGACCAATCAACCGCCAAACAGTAGCTAGTTATAGATTAAAACAGTGATACTTACATATGGTAAAAGTTCGTTGGGTGCCATTCCGGAGACGATGATCAAATATCTGATGATGACCTTTAGGTTGTTCGGCCAACAGGCGCATAACGTCGACCACAGCTCTTCGATTTCTTTGGGGTGATTGTCCGAAAACTGTCAAACGAAGCCGTATGGGTATATTTAGTATTATTTTTTATTGACGTAGATAGGAAGACCAACTTGACAGATAAGATCTCATTTAAATCATAATATTTTTCAATCGCAACCATAACCGATTTTCTTATACCTTTCAATAAAAAATTCGTTAGAAGCATAATTTTGTTTTGCAACACAAACAAAATGTCCATGGTGCATGTTGCGTACCCTTCGTCCGCCCAATCCAATTTTAAAGGTACTCACTTAGTCTTTGTAAATTTAAGCTTCACATTCGAACCGAAATAAGACCTAAACAAGATTATGATCTCCCTATTTAATTAGGGCTGCTAAAACAACATCAAAACATAGTATACCCATATTTTCGACCCTCTCCCTTATTAGGAACTCTGTGTTGTATCGTACACAATGAGAGCATTATATTACTTAGGCAGCGGAAGCGTTTACGACCGCGTTGTCAACGTGTATTCATAGCGAGATATCTAGATAGAGATAGAAATATTTAGGGAAATTTGATAAGCACTTGTTAGTAATTGAGAGTCCATAGAGAGAAAGTTTGTTCCACTAAATTGTTTTCACGTGTATGATTTTTTTATTTAATTGAATTTTAATTTTTACTGTACGGTCGCCGTAAGTTATTTTCACAGTCTAAATTTGTTTATAACCAGTTTATTTTTGTTTATGCTCGTTTGAATTTAATATTTAGACTTAGGAAGATTCCACTAGATATCTTTAGTAATTCGACAGTTTTATTTTCCCGGTACATTCTATCCCCTGTCTATGCCAACTTTTCGGTATCACCGGTTCATCAACTCCTTTCTATGCCAACCAATACATTAGGTTCGTTTGTTATTCAGAAAGACAATGATATAGTCCACAGATATAAATCAAGATCTTGAAGAAGAAGAATCCTGATATTATTTCTGTGTTATCATCCTTCTACTGCAAAACTTTTGATAAAATTTAAATTTATGTTACTCATTTTTATAGGTTGCTCATCAGGCCTAACCTGACATTGATACATTTAGAGATTTTTTTATGATAAACTGCGGAAACGATTCGATGTTTACACGCGCGTAGTAGCAGCACGTTGCAGGATCGGTTCATGTAGGAAGGGCGCATCAAGGTCGCGCCCGATGACGGATGGGGTAAACAGGGGTGAGCCCATGACGATCTCACCCATGCCTGAACTTGACCTTCATACTATGAAGTGCGCATCCACTACGCTTTAATAATATTAAAAACACAAGTTAAAACATTACGATTTCATCTCGCATTGATTTTATACTTTTTATACACATTCATTTTGTATTGAATAGGTACACTAGTTGCGTACGAAAAAATGTCATGAAAGACAAAATTAAATGATACAATATACCGTTTTTGAAGAATTAAAAATTCATATAATAATTTTTTTAATTCTTAAAAAATTCATAATTTTTTAAATTCCTTAATTCTCTAAAAAATGTCTGTTTTTTTAATTATTCAAAAATTTGTAAACCACGTTATCGGTGAACGTACAAAGAGGCTGGCTTTTCTCGCTGTGCCTTCTTACATTTCCGGTAACAAAGAATCATTTTTGTATTCAATTATTTCGTTATACAGTTCGATTCGAGTCATTGTTCAGAAGTCGGATGCGCTGCCCGAATGGTGCGCAAATGTTCTGAGCTACAGCTAATGAGTTGTTCGACGTTGTCATATTTTATGCAGGAAATTCTACGGTGGCACGCTTCAGGGGTCTTAAGACCTCCATCTTTGTGTCTCTAACTAGAAGGTTTTGAACCGCTCCCTATGGCGTAGTACGGTTTATTGTTCGCTAAAATAGCAGCATCACCACTATTGAGAATGAAGAAATACGATACTTTTAAATTTAATTTATTGATGCATACATTATTGATACATACATATATTTATAAAAACTAGTTTATGTAAACTATTTACCAATAAATTGTAGTTTGTCGCGGGGAGAGTCAAAGACCGGGCTCAGTGGTGTAAGTTAGGAATGGCGAATAAGAGCTATGTGCTTAGAGCGAGTTTTTTAACGTTCTCGATAGCGTAAAAGTTAACTCAAATTTGTATGGAGTTGGAACGTTTGCCTACGTTCTAACTGCATACAAATTTGAGAACGTTAAAAAACTCGCTCTAAGCACACTGATGATGATTTGACTGCAAATCATTTTTATTATTTCTAGTATTTTTATTGCTGCAGATCGACAGACTAATTCTAGGCTCACCTAACGGAATCCTTATGACTATACAATGAGGATGGCGCTACATTTCTAGACATGAGGTGGTAGTCTCAACTGTATGGCAGTAGCAACTTTGCGACAAGAAACCGAGCGGAACCGGATGCACCGGAACGCAACATCGTTCATAACACGACGTACCACTAATAAAACGGTTTGTAATGTAATGTTAGCACTTTTAAGGCCTATAAAAATGTGCGCTTAAGTAAAGAATTTTGATGTATTGAAAAGATTGTCCGACCAACGCGTAGCGTGTTGAAATTCCAAGACGTCTAGACAGGGGTCCCTCGCGGTAGCGTACAGGTGTGTAGCACTCACCCTCCTCACATTGTAAGTATTTATAGGTAACATTATTGTATCATTTTTAAGGGCCTTATATAATGTTAAATGTAGGGTAGGTCTCTAGCTTCCATCATTCTGGTACCGATCGTGAACTGTATCCTCAATGACGATTGTTTTGTATGTTTGTGTGACTGTAAATTTTTTTTCTTAGACAATTCTACGAATATAATTCAGGTACATTTCACTACAAGAAAAATAGATCAACCTTTTTAAAGTAAAGTTTTTTTCAGCGTATTTCTCTAAGCTTCGGTTTTGCGCTTTTATTTCAGGAAAGGAAAACATGTTTCGTCAAGCAGAGTTCACTGAAGTCGATTTACTCGGTACGAGGGAAACCTCTTTTGCTTCGTTACGGAAGGTTAGTGTTTGACGTCAAATAGGATCCGTAGAGACGTTCTCCTCGTGTGAGAGGAATTGACTCGTACACCGTACATTTTAGTGATGTGATGGAGGATTTTATTTAACAATGCTTTTTGCTGCCTATAGTTGTGCTTTTTTATTCACTGCCTAACTGGTATCAAGGGAACCAATGTGGTCGAATTAACATGAGTGCTTCCATCTCATTTTACAGGTGAAGGTGGATAGCTTATTTATGCTAGACAAGACGAAGGAACGAGTTCCGAGGTAAATGGGCGTTTTATGTTTTATTAGTTTTACTTATACGTCAATTAGTGGATGAACTTGTATTTGTTTGTAATGTAATGAGTGAATTGATGCGATAAGGAATAGCAAAAGGTACCGCCGTTACAGCTTGCCTATCTAAGGGAGGTGATTGTGCCTTCCCCGAGAATGAAGAGAGGCGGTAGTAGTGTAAATTCAATCCACTGTCGGTGCTTTTAGGCTCTTCAAGCCCCGCTCACCGTCCTCGTCGAACTCGTCGACTCCGTCCAAGAGTTCGACGTGCAAACTAGCCCATAGACACAGTTCACTGACTTTCTCACTGGATCTTCTCAGTGGGTCGCGATTCCGATCCGGTGGTATTTTTTTTTATTGCTTAGATGTGTGGACGAGCTCACAGCCCACCTGGTGTTAAGTGGTTACTGGAGCCCATAGATATCTACAACGTAAATGCGTCACCCACCTCGAGCCATAAGTTCTAAGGTCTCAGTATAGTTACAACGGCTACTCCACCCTTCAAACCGAAACGCATTACTGCTTCACGGCAGAAATAGGTAAGGCGGTGTTACCTACTCGTGCGGACTCGCAAGAGGTCCTACCACCGGTAAATTAAATACCAGTAAGATTCAGCGAAGCACTGCTCTTGCTAGAACTGGTGTTAGCAATTCTCTCAGGTTGACCCCGTGGGCTCACCTACCAGTCCGCGCAAACTTGAAATAGCCTCTTAAGCTACCAACAAATAGGCAGGGAAAAAATGTACGATATATAAAAAAATCACGACATGAAGAAACTGAAGTGTGATCAATTATAAGATAAGAGGCTAAGAGGCGCCGCTTAGTCCCTGGTCACGTCCGGCGCTAGGAGTCGTCCACTTGTTGCCTTCATTTAACATTGCAGTTGTGGCTGCAGCTAGCACGGACCTGGATCGCGCTAACGACAGTGTCAAGATAAGGTAGCACATTTACAAGTTCCGAACATAACGTTAGGCTGTCGGTCTAACGAGCGACAACACCCACCCGGTTTGTAGAAGCTCTTTCCTTTATCGTTTCCGAATGCAACATGTTTGTTGAGCTTTGAGAACGCAAATTGTTTTCCATTTACAAATTACTTATTTATCAGCTTCCTGTATATTTTCACTTTGAATTTAACATAATATTACCGAACTGTCACTGTATATAATAAATATATTGTATATTGTAAATAATAAATATATTTGGCAACTGAGGCGATATTGATCACGCATCACGGTATGTACTTTTATTAACCTCAAATGTTTTCATGATGTTAACATTGTCAATATCATCAGCACACAGGACGTTGGTGGAAAGCGATAACTTTAGAAAAGATTAGCTTCTCTAATATTGTATGACACAGCAAAAACGATCATCGTAATTTAAGAGTCCATATCTAGTCTTTCTGTACAAGCCATGAGATGAATTTATCAAAGTGAATAACAGTTTACCTTGGCTGTTATGTAGAAGAGGTTATTCAAAACCATTTCGGTAGCTTCAGCGGAGCCCAGACCTTCCCGGCGACTACTGCGACCGCCGTCCGTCGTGTAGTACTGTCGACAAAAAAATTGATGTCTGTAACTTTAATTTTTAATTAAACGTTAATAGCACCAGAATCGCGAATTTTCATTTATTGTTTTAATTTATCGTTAAACGCTCCTTTATAGTAATTGTTTTTAACATAAAGTTGTCATTATCATAAAGCATCGTTACAAGCTTTGACCATGAACGCTACTGTAGTTCTTTCATAAATAAAAACTAATTTATCAGATAAGAGACAGCGACGACAACACCGTGTGAGCGAGTGACCAGCGCACAAACAATAACAAGAAATCACATTAAAATATGTTTTTAATAAGTAATATGTTAGCCGTGACAGTGGTGGAAGGTTAGCCTTGTTTTGAAATCCTACACCGCAAGGTTAATTCATATAGCTTGTGAACTAAATATATAAAACAAACGACGACATCAACATATTTTTCTGTTATTGAAAATGATTTTGCGTAAACATTCGACGTGTTTAGATCTTACGCACATTACAATGCATTTTAATGCAATACGTTAGGTTAGCTCATCATTGGTATTTATATCCGCAAAATTGAGATATGTCAGTGAAATCATAATTTATTTGATCCTACGTCTGCGCGTCAGAACGCAAGGCGTGTTTGGCTCACGGCTGCTTACTTTGCCTTGTGCGGGCTTGTGACATGCTCTACGACCGATCCTCCTCTGGAGGATCAGTAATTAGTGTGAAAGATATGTAAAGAATTGAGGATACGGTTACTACGGTACAGATTCTAATAATAGGGTAAAAATAGACTAGGTGGAGCAATTTCCATTTTAAGATCTCCTAATTAATAGACAACCCGTATATTATGATGTTAGATCTTTTCAACTGAAACATGTCTGTGAAATAAATAATACTTAACTAATAAAGATATTAATAAAACCTCGGGATAGAATAAAGAAATATAAGATGAATAGATTAATTGCAGTTTACATCAAATTAGCATGTTTTATATAATGAGAATTATCTAAACGAGCATTAAGATAATCGCATTAGATTGTCATGCGAGAGCACACAGTAAGATTAGCGTCTTCAACTGTCATTCATGATCAACAATTGATCGATAATTAGGAAGACTATATGAGTCGCGTATATAACGTACTGGACGGCGTCGTAACGTGCGCAGACAGCCAACGAGGTGGACCGGTGACCTGATCAAAGTGGCTGGTAGGGACTGGATGTGAAATTCAAGAGACCTACACTCAATATTGCGTGGACAAGGGTTGAAAAAGAGAGGGGTCGCGTGTCTCGCTTCTGGAGTGACGAACCCGCAACCTCGATTACGTCTCGGCGAGAATATTCTCGAGAAACTCTGCTTATCTATAATTATCATAACTCTGCTTATGTATGTTATGACTCTCTTATATATGTATAATATATCATAACTCTGCTTATGTATATCGGAATTCTCTTATGTACATTATAAGCAAAGTTGCATGTACAACTTGAAAATATTTGAAATAAATTCAAGATTTAGGCACTATCCTAGCGATGTAAGTACGCATCTCGCTCAGCTTAGTTAGATTTGTTTCTTTTCAGAGGCTGCGAAATGTAAAATGACATGTAATTAAACTTTGAAAACAGAAGCACCTCGACTTGGAAGCGAGGCGCGAAATTACGTGAGTGTCGGGAGATCAAGGAGAGATCAATGCGCGGTTCGATTTATTTACTAACGTCGCTTGCGGGAGTACATCATCATCCGGTACGAATGGAATGGGATAGCGAAATGTGAAACGTAAAGTACAACGAATACGGATGTTTATTATTTGCACGTTGTACTCGTAAAACAGCGAATCGAAACTGTTTTCACAAAAAAACACCCTCAAGTGTTTGTGAGAACTACATTCAGATTACTTATGGTGTTATGTTAGCAATGCTGTGTATTAGGAAGAGAGTAAGGGTAGTGGGAATATGGGTTACAGTAACCACCTGAGACCAGGAGTTATGAGAATGGTAGAATGAATAGTGATATGTAAAAAATATCTGTGCAACGGCGATTTTCGCGAAGGCTACATTTACCTCGACGTGCTTCGGAATTCCGCTGTATTTACTCTTAGATTGAATTACAAGCATTCAAATTACACAACGGGAGCTATTTACATATGTATATGTATGGTCGTGGATGCGGCGTGCCAATTAGAGCGCATTGATTGACATGATGCGTCTCTAACAGTATATCAAATGGATTAAGCCGCAAATACAACGTGAACCTTAGTTTCTACTGAATATCAAATGTTTGTTTGGATTTAAGGCGGAGCTTTAGTCATATGTCTGCTGTCACATAATCATACCGAATCAACGGTGTATTGTGTTTTCGTAATATTTCAGTATCATCAAATTTAAAATATTAATTCTATATTATTGATTAATATAGATAACAAAGAAAGTACATTCACATTACATTGTATTTTTACGTTCTCTTCGGAAAGTTGCGACTATAGACAAAAAAATACTATTTATTAACATGTTTCTTTTTTAATGCCATCACACGTAGACCTCTGCGGTTCTTACACTATTGATTGCTATTCGAGATGAACGCGCTGGTACCTCTCAACCTGATCCTTGGTCGTTCAAGTACCTTCTATTGATTTTAAAACCGGTAACGGTAAAATTATGGACCAGCGTTCGTAAAACATAACACTCAACAAATATAAATTAAAATCGAAACCATCTCTGTCGTCTCGATCTCTGTCGTCATATCAACCAGACTCGTGTAACATCGAAATAAATCACAATTAAAAGTTTTACATTCCTACGTACGACAGGGAGATGTTGCAAAATGAAAAAGAGTACCCATGTCGCGCGGAACACCCTGCACAGAAATTTTATTATAACAAAAAAGTATACAAGCGGAGTTGCATATTTTTTAATGAACTACTAAATATCAAGGAGTTCAACTTTTGTACTGAACTGAAATGCAGTCGTCGTCTGATATTAAATTTGTCAAAGTATTGCCTAACAAACAGGCTGGCAAAACTTCAGCACACGCAAACAAACTTCAAGAAATAGAAGGACAATAAAAAAAAACACGTTATCGTATCTGCCCTGCCATAGGTTACATCCTAAATGAGAAGCCTTCATATTACTGCTGGGTCACGAATTGGAAAGAATTCGCTATTTTTATAGTATCATTATAATTTATAATATTTCATAGTAGTCGTGGCCTAAAGGATAAGACGCCCGGTGCATTCGTAAGTAGCGATGCACCGGTGTTCGAATCCCGCCGGCAGGTACCAATTTTTCTAATGAAATACGTACTTAATAAATATTCACGCCTGACTTCCACGGTGAATGAATATAGGAATATAGGAAGGACATCGTGTAATAAAAAACAAACCCACAAAATTATAATTTGCGTAATTACTTGTGGTAGAACGTCTTGTAGTCCGCGCGGTTAGGTACCACCATCCTGCCTATTTGTGTAAATTCTACGATGTGTGGATTCTGCGAAATATTGTTCTTGCTAGAAGTGTTAGCAAATTCTCTCAGGTTGAGCCCGTGAGCACACCTACCCGTCCGCGCGTAGCTGGTATAGCTGGCTACCAACGAATAGGTAGGGGAGAAAAAAGATGTCAGAAGTTCAAAACTATGTAAATTAAAATATTGTAATCACCAGAAATGGATAGGTCATTTAATAACAAGCAAAACAGAAAAATGGGCTAAATTAGTAACTGAATGGTACCCTCGGGAGGGGAAAAGATTAAAAGGACGATCCAAAGGTGGGTAGACGACATAAAAGCCGTTGCAGGCTCTACGTGGAAGAGGAAATGCCACGACCGGAACTTATGGCAGGATTTGGGGGAGGGCTATGCGAAAGCAAAACAATCTTAGCCGATGTCAAATGAAAAGAAAAAAAATGAATAGTATGTACCTAAATATGAATTAAGGTTGTTAATAAAGGCTTCTTTATCTTTATCTTAATCACCAGAGCTTGGGCTTAACATATTAAGAACCGGAATTTGCCAACCAGATCAGGAAATCACGAGAGCCGGTAGTTTTAAATTATTAAAACACACTGGATATTAAATACTGCTGAAATTTTGCTTCTTTAAATCATAATAAAAACAGAAATAAAAGATCGTTAAAATATCCCGAGCCGTACCGAAAATTGTTATCACAAAACAAACATTTAATTTAACTTTATTATTCCCTATAACAAGTTTCTAGTTGACTATAGACTTTGGTTAACTCATTTTCGCCCATTTGCGAGGGTTGCTGCAGTTTTTTTTTTTAAATCTGTATGGAAAGAAGCTCAGTGGAAAGCCAATATTGAGTGAAGTTGATTCAATAAAGGCGCGCGGCACGTAGCTTGTGTAACTTCATTTTGGCCTCCATCAAAGGTTGTTAAATACAAATTTTCTTCAATTTGGTTTGTTTTAGCAAATAAACGATAATGTAAAGATTGTGTAAATAGACGGATGTTTCTGTTGTGAGAAGACAAATAAGGTATTTGATGCACAATAAATGGGTAATCTGTTTTTAATGAAACTGACATAGCTCAATTGAATAAGAGATTTTACGTATTTCTATAAAAAGATGAAACTTTTTTTTTATTGCTTAGATGGGTGGCCGACCTCACAGCCCACCTGGTGTTAAGGGGTTACTGGAGCCCATTGACATCTACAACGTAAATGCGCCACCTACTTTGAGATATAAGTTCTAAGGTCTCAAGTATAGTTACAACGGCTGCCCCACCCTTCAAACCGAAAAGCATTACTGCTTCACGGCAGAAACAGGCGGGGTGGTGGCACGTTTTTTATTTTATTTTTTTTATTGCTTAGATGTGTGGACGACCTCACAGCCCACCTGGTGTTAAGTGGTTACTGGAGCCCATAGACATCTACAACGTAAATGCGCCACACACCTTGAGATATAGTTCTAAGGTCTCAGTATAGTCACAACGGCTGCCCCACCCTTCAAACCGAAACGCATTACTGCTTCACGGCAGAAATAGGCGCGCGGACTCACAAGAGGTCCTACCACCAGTAAAACTCGACTTATTACTTCCTTTTGCACTAGGTTCGTTGGTAAAAAATTTATTAAAGTATATTTATGTACCTGTATATAGGATAGCGGGTTGGCCGGGGGCACGTTGGGGTCGACCAGTTCAATGTTCACCAGCCAAGGCAAGAGGTACTGCAGGAGGAGCTGACGGACTTCAGTACGAGCGGTCTGGAAGCGCGCCGTTATCTCTAAAAAAGAACACTCACTTCAATTACTTCATATTATAGATACTGTTAGGTACCTAGGTGAAATGGTACCATATTATAGGTACTGTCAGGTACCTAAGTGAAGTGAAATGAAATGATTAAAAAAAACTATATCTGAAGATGTAAGTGACAAGTAGATAATTTCTTTTTTAATTTTTTTTTATTGCTTAGATGGGTCGACGAGCTACTGGAGCCCATAGACATCTACAACGTAAATGCGCCACCCACCTTGAGACATAAGTTCTAAGGTCTCAGGTAAAGTTACAACGGCTGCCCCACCCCTCAAACCGAAACACATTACTGCTTCACGGAAGAAATAAGCAGGGTGGTGGTACCTACCCGCGCGGACTCTCAAGAGGTCCTACCACCAGTGAATTCATTTTCAAGCTTTAGTCTTATCCCAATATCATTTAAGTGAATGTTCAAATGGTGTAAAATCATCTGCTAATCTTAGTCAGTAAAATAACAAATTTAAAGTACTTTCTCACATTATGAACGTGTCATGAGTTTTCGTGATAACAGTTCAACATCACAAAGATATATCAAAATGTATATAAGCATCAGAATGTTCAATATCGGAAAAAACTAGTATTGGAAATTAAACGAACTATGTCTTTATAACGTCCACATTCATTTTCCATCCACAACGGTGCGAACAGGAGTTCCGCAAACAACAGATATTATAATTTGTTTTGAAATGTAAGGACCACGTTACATTGCGTTGTAAATAAATAGTTATTTTAAATAATGGAATCCGTACTCGGGTCACGGTTACCGAAAATTTATGCAGATTTTCTGTTTAGTTGTTGGTCATCATTGTTGATGGAAATAAACGAAAATATTATGCATACATGATAATATTAATATTGGCCAGGCTAATTTCACATTTATCATTGGAACTTTTATGAATCCTCCATCGTTTATTAATCTCGAGTAAGCCATTTTTATTTTTATAACAGTTTACCGTAACGATGTTCATTCAAATAAGATCCGATATATGTGCGATTCCTGGGTGCTATAAGGTGCGTCGTAGCGAGGGAAATTCTAATATAACGCATTTTATAACGTGAATGTAAAGCGATAAGCCTCGTTTATAACAACTTCGAACGCTGCGTGTGGATGAGATAGAGCATGGAAAATGAAAAATCACATTTATCAAGTGTTTTTTTATGACTTCTCAACCTATATGTGACTCAGGTCTCGTAAAGATAATGGTGTTGCGATTAGATATTGGCATAGAGAAGATCTGACGTCGGTGGCATTGCCCGCCATGCGTGACCCTCAATAACGATACGAGAGTACATGTTATTGGTTTAGTGGGTAGCCGTTACTATCTTGGTAGTTCCACATAGGCAGCGCGTCTCATCAACGCGGGGTCTTCGTATGGGGTTCAACACCCAGCCGAAAAAAAAAAACCAATAGTTTGGGATCAGCGAGTCGTGGAGGAAAGTACGTTGAGGTTATTAGAACTGCGGACGAATGATAGGGAAGAAGCAAACACCTGGTGACGAGCATAGCTAATCATTAAGGTCCTAGACGGCAATTTTTTGACATCCAGTTACTTTAGAAGACATTTTTGGAATCCCAGGATTTCGCAAGAGAGCAATCCATATTATTTATGAGTTACTTGCTGACTTGATTACTCCCACCGAACCATTAAACTCATATCATACGATATATACATACATCATAGAAAATTATATAAACTCCTGTATGCATTATCCAAAAATGTATAACTGACAAGTAAAAAAAGCAAGAAAAATAAATCGAATTTTCCATCTGCGCAAAATATTCCGATAACAATCCAAACGTTTGGGACGAATTTTATCCTTCACGCATACATACATATAAGCCACACATAGGAGATAAATGTAATGTTCGTGAACGACACTCATATTCAAATCGCACTACATCCTCAATTAAGGCGGCGCGTTATTGTGTGCGAATAAATAACGTATCATGCCCTAGTTTTATAACACCTTAAACCTTGTCGTCTATTACTATATGCATTACATTGCGGGGTGAATAGCAGGAGCTACGTGTGGCCTGTTGACGAGAAAATTGAAGCTGGAGTCCTTGCTAGGTCGATCACACGCGCCGAGATCACGTGCTTGTTCCATCTCCTCGTCTGATTGGGGTGCAACCGCCACTAGTGATGCTCTTTGTATCGATACTTGTAGGAAACGCCGATGTTATTTATTATCTTATTGCTTTAGATGGCATTAGCTTGTGGCCTACCTAAAGTAAGTGGCTATCGGAACCCGCGGAGACGACGCCACAGCGGCCTCCGACATTGAGGTAAATGAGATCTGAGTATTAATGGTAATGTAATTATTTGACCCTTCAAACAGAAATAAACGCTTGCTTCTTAGTATAACAGGCTCAAGGTAGGAATCAGACTTACATAGGAAATACGGTGAAGGCACTTATTTTGTGGACAATTGGTGGGGAAGTACCCTACCCTATGCATTTGGTACCGAGATGTCAGTTTGGCATAAGATATGGATCTTTTTGCTACTTACTATTGTTATTCAAGTTTATTAGGCATAAAAAAGTTCGTTTCGTGAAATAATGCGTTCATATCGATCGTTCGTCACAAATTTGAATATCGATAACGACATATTGGCAAAAATGTTTTTATCCATGCCTAGATAGATTGACGTTACCGGTCGGGTCTCATCCGAGTGCAATTTGCAACTATACGAGTTTCATTGACACAATTTCTTTGTTGACACAAAGCACGCGGCGAACTCTCGATGCTTCGAATAATAAAATAATATTCTACCATGGTCTGACTGGATGTGATGAATGACATCCTGCCCTAAATAAAAATTAATGAATTTGCGGCTATTCGGTGTAGGGTGTCAGGATTTTAAATCAACGTGTTACATGTGACGATTTTAAATTAATTAAGAACAAAAGTCGAAAAAAAATTTAGAGTAAACAAATGTCCTAATTTTTATACTTGTAAATTCTTTTGTAGTATGAAGTGATTAATTTATACCAGAAACTGCGTGTTAATTACACTATCGACATTTCCTTCGAACAAATAATTTGGTAAGAGAGTTATAAGATTTTCCACAGCTTCCTGTAGCACATTGGAATGTCTACTTATTTTATTTTTCTCTTTCAGATATATAATTTCCGGTCTCGAGAGCTGCAATCGGCTGTCAAGCGGAAACGCAACTCGTGTTCAATATTGTTGTTTTATCTTTGTGCAATTCACATGACATCTATTGATTCGAAAAGTAGTGGGTCAAAATAACTACGTTCTGAAATCGCATTTTTCCGGACATACAGTCGTGGTCAACTAATTAGGGACATTCAAGATAGTGAAGGGCTATAACCGGCTATGTACATTTAAATATAAAACCCTATTGATTTCTCAGCACCTATTATTTGCATAATGTGGTCCGATTATTATGCTATAAATGGCTGTAAATAAAAGATTTAATAAATAGAAAAAGTATTTAATATCAAAGATTAAACATGTATTAAATATTAAGGTACAATTCTGTAGTGGACATTTAATTAAGGACAGTAAAGTATAATGAAAAATACAGTTACACAAAACTTATAATCTTCAGTGTTATAATATCTTTAACAGCTCCATTTTATTACGTGTAAAATCAGTACCCAGTAGCAAAACCTTTGTTAGTAATTACCGCTTGACACCGATGTGGCATAGACATTATCAGTTTCTGACATGTTTCGACAGGAATGTTTGCCCATGCCTCACAAAAAGCTTCATGAAGTTCATCCAAATTTGTATTACGATAAGTGGCAACTTTTTTCTTGATTTCGTGCCAAAGTTGCTCAATTGGGTTGAGGTCCGGGCTATTTGCTGGCCAATCTAGCACCGATACAAACTGACTGGTAAGAAACGACTTGACTGAATGGGTGGTATGTTTCGGGTCGTTATCCTGCTGAAACGTCCATATAATAGGGAAATGCTCCTCAGCATAGGGAAGCATAGTTTCTTCCAATATTGCCTTGTATTGATGTTGGTCTAAGTTACCCTGAACTTTCCTCACAGGTCCCACTCCACGTCCAGAAAATGAACCCCATATTTTAATGTTTCCACCGCCATGTTTCACCTGTTTTTTTGTGAATCTTGGATTCATTTTCGCTTTTACAGGACGCCGTACATATTGCCTTCCATCTGAAGAAATCAAATTAATCTTGGTCTCGTCAGAGAAAAGTACATGTTGCCATTGGGCGTAGATCCAATGTCCATATTTACGTGCAAATTCCAAACGAGCATTTCTATGTTCTTTCTTCAACAACGGTACTTTGCGAGCCACTCTTCCAAACAACCCTGCTTCTACCAAACGTCGTCGAACGGTCTTCGCAGATACAAATAGAGCCTAGAAACGGATCTTTCTTAGCTAACCTGGTTATCATTCTATCTTCTTGCGGAGTCATTTTTCTCGATCTTTTTGTTCTGGACACATTTAAAGCTGTGTTATAGCGCTTGAAATGTTGCACTGCATTGCATACCATAGTTTTTGAACAATTTAAATGTTGTGCTATCCTTCGGTTTGACCAACCACGCTCGACAAACTTCATGATAATTTTTCGTAGTGTTGGATCGCAACTTTTATTTTTGCCCATTTTTCTTCAAAATAATTCTCAAAACTTAAAATAAAAATCTGGATTGCCGCAAAACGACCACTAAACAATAAGAAAAGAAACAAAAAAGTATTAAAATTCCAATTTTGAAATTAGAACGCAATACCTCAGTGTCCCTAATTAAATGGCCAGCCAGCATTCTTTGAACCAATAGCACTATGATATTGTATCAGCTATACTGTAAAGAGGTTTAATGTTTAAGAAGTTGTTATTGTTTATATAATCGCGCACATAAATGACTAATTACACTTACATGTAAAAGATATGGAATATTGCTAAGACTCGTTGGAAAATAAAAAAAAATATTCACAATTTGGCTTAACTAGAGATTGTCCCTAATTAGTTGACCA